TCGAATTTTAGAGTTTTTTTCAAGCCTTGAATCGTTGTCTTCTGACTCCTCGAATTTCTAATTTGATTTTTTCTATTGACGATTAGAATAATGTTGAAAAAATGGGAAGAAAAACACTGAAAATATTAATTGAAATTTAAAATTGTGTTAAAGAAGAAATTTTTTAGCATTCGTGTGAAAGTGAGAATTGCATCGATAATCCGACGTAGTTTTCCTTTTTGCTTTTTTCGCTATTGTCGAAAATCTCTTTTTTTTTTGTAGAAATTATTCGCACATCGCTTTTCCAATATTTTCTGGAATAATATATCAACGCTAAAATTTAGAAATAAATAAACCAAATCTCTGTGCGGCACACTAATTCATTAATTAAGTTTTATCCAAGTGGTGCCGAGGAATTATTTGCCATTCTTTCTTTAAGTGACTCAAGGTTAACAAAGGTGAATATCTCTAATGCACTAATGAACCATCCAAAAATGGTGGATGCACTCCTAAAAGAATACGAAAAATTCCTTCTTTGCACCACACTTATGAATGAATGATCCAATATAATAATTTTTATTTTCATTATTTCAGTTAGATTTTATTCATAATTTTTTAAGATTTTTATTCTGCTAACCATTCATTTTTCTAGCCATTGTTTGCATGAATAATTCATCTCTTATAATTTATTCATTTCAAAATTTTTTCATCATCCTTATTCCATGTTTATTTTTTTCAAAAATTATTCAGAAAAGTATTGAAATTAGATTCGTTAATTTCTTTCCTCAGTGTTTCCAAAAGATTTTCTAAAGGATTTATGAAATGCATATTTTAATTCTTTTCATATCTCAATGGCACTTTTTTAATGGCACTTTATAGAGGTAAATGATAGGATAAATTTCTTATCAATCAAAAAACGATATCCGAATTGATTTATAGTTTTCCTTTTTTATTGATTATTTTTGGACAAAGATGTATTTGTCGAAACTTCGAAATTAATTAAATTCCTTCTTTTACATTTTGTTTTTCTTTCCATGGATTTAATCAATGATATTTGACTTGATGAGAAGAAAATTTCCTAGGTTGAAATTCTGCGTGAATTTCTAAGCAACAGGCATAATTATTTATCTTTTTTCTTCTTTCACTAGTTATACGTTAACTGAATCTTTTGAATCATTAGAATCCGATCCCTTCGCGAGACTGAACAAGACTGGTGAGTCCTCCTCCGTATCACTCGCATTCCTTTTTTAGTGGCGAATCCTCCTGTCACATAAATTGAACACATAGTGGTTGACTTCAGTGGAAGCAATATAGCACTCAGCCATCTTATTATACATCTTTTCAACTTCCTACAACTAAATTAATTTGGTAAGGCAGAGATTCAGCTCCGATGTTTTCTTTCTTATTTCGCGTATATTTCCATTTTAGAAAAATAATTTTAGCGGATTTTCTTTATATTTCTCATATAGTTGATGAAATTGTTTTGTTTTTTAGCTTCGTTCCAGTAGGATTGATGTCCATATGATATTACATTTCGATAGCATGTATTTATAATTTAGAATAAATAGAATATCTAATAATATAGAACTGCTCAGTGGGTTGTTGCTCAGTTTGGAGCGCCGATGCTGAGGTTCTCCGATTGCAGAAGTAAACCTGTACAAAAATCCGAGTGATGTTGGCGACTCACCTGTATTTCTATCGCCAAGGGACTCCGTGGCATATTGCTCAATGCGATAAGCCAGTGGAGCGAGTTTAATGTTAGAAGTTTAAATTCACTTCGAATTTGATTACTTAAAACCATCTTAAGAAATAGCATGTTTCCTAATAGCATTGTTGTTTTATCGTTGTTCGCGACGAGTTCCACGATTGCCTTTCCCAACAGAAGTAAACCTGTCATTAAAAAATCTGGCTGGGCCTAGACCTGGATCTTTATCATTAAGTTGTTTTCTAGCAAAAAACTTCTTATTATATTAACAGCAGTCGAGTGTAGCCTAAGCAGGAATAGCGAACGCTAACCACTCATCTTATTTTTCTCCTTCAGTTTTCAATATTGTTTTATGAATTAAGATGAATCGTCTCATTACGCGTCAAAAAATTACGATGCCAATTCTTTATGGCCTTCGAAATTTTCAAAAATAGATTTTCCCCAAAAAATTTACTCGACGCTATCGAATAAGAATCGATTGTGGCCCATGCAAAAGAAAATTCGAAATTGATTTCAACATCATTTATTAGATTCCATTTCTGCACAATTCCATTGTTGACCAATATCGAATAAGAATGCAATCAGTGGATCGTCGCATTACATAATTTTACTATTTTTATTTAGTATTTTTTGTCGATCCTTTCGAAAATTCTTTCAATTTCGGCTTAAAATCCTATTTCAAATGAAATTCTAATGAAATTATAAAGCTAATGCCAAGTGAATGGAATCATTCTGAATCAAATGAGTGGAATGAGTGGTCACTCAACATTTCTGGTTAGATTCACCGCAATGGAAAATAATAGGATGAAACAAATTTATGAGAGTGAACCGATTGAGATAGGTGAATTGTAAGCACCATTTGGACCACATTGCACCTTTTGTTTGAAATTCGTCATAAAACTAATACATTATAATATACTAGGCAAAATTATTTTTAGGAAACACAGATTTCTTACAACACCGATTGCTTCTTCCTGTTTTCCTCTTAGCAGCATTCATAGATGGCTGCTTGCGATCGTTTCATTTATTTCCCTTCTTTAGCTCAAAATTATTGTTTTATTCAATGAAATTACATTCATATGGTTACCTAATTTAAGGATGTTTTTCCAGAAATATTCATTCGACTTGCACGATTCATTTGCATTGGGATGGAAACTCTTACCAGTTGATTTTAAATTAACTGGTAAAAAAATTCGTGAAAATTTTGAAGAAATTTAATTTATGGGTTATGGAGGATTCGATCTTTTCACGAAAAAAACCCAATTTGACCCAATGTCTACGATATATCTTATCAGTAGTATTTCATATGCAATTGTGATAATATTGATTTTCATTATCTTTTAATGGCAGAAAAAAATTTGTAATCAAATTTCATAAATGGCATACGAATCTGATAACAAAATTGATTAAAACTGAATCCATCTGGAATCCATGTATCATGGGCTGATTTTATCTCAAGCAGCACATGGTTTTGGTTCCTATCTAAAGGTGCTTTTGAAAATAAAAGGTGAGTAATGTGGATGATGAGTGATGAGTAATGTGAATGTGGATAATGTGGATGAGTAATGTGGACGCCATGTACGCATATCTGCTTCTCAAATAAATTTTTGAAAAGTGATCAAATTAGTCATTAGAGCCAGAAACTATTAGATGAAGGAAAGAAACCTATATCTGCTGTTTCATACTTTATCTGAAGTGCCATACTTCAAATTTCTGAGAAATGACTCCTTAAAGAGAAGTTTAACAGCCAGTTGGACCAGAAACGATGAACGTTGGCCACATATTTTTTAATGATAAGTCTATATTTTAGGTCTAAAGATAAGTCTAAGGAATCTGAAAAATATTTTTTTGTAAATTAAATTTAAATTCGAGATTTTCATTAGAAATTTGTTCCAGATTGCTCACTAATATTATTATTCTTTTTTGCAGAATCATTGTTCAGTCCATGTTTGGCTAATACGTTATTTAAGTGCTTGGCATTCATTCTAGACTAATTCTAATTAAGCTAATCGCAATGTCTTTCGCAGAAACTTTTTGCAAAGGAGTGAAGTGCAGAAGTGCAAATGCATCGCTTGCACTCACTTAACTACTTTGGTAAAATCTCTTTAGAACGCGTAAATTTGACGATATTTTCATATAAATGCTGAAATCATTTTGCTACAATTAGGATACAATCTCTTACTATGAACTGCACTCTTGTTTAATTCAATTTCCAAGTGATTCTGTGGCAAAAGCATTTCACCTTAGTCAGTAGGACTAACCAAAGCAGAAAAATGTGAATGCAATTTAGAAAAACAAGTAGAATCGTTTTTCTTGGTTATTTACTGGAAATATGAAAAGTTATTCTTTTAAAATTATATGACAAATGTGAGTTGCAGATGTTTTCTAAAATTTTTATTGCAAATCAATACCGAAATTTTAATTTTAAAGTATATAAAATGATATTAACAAAAAAATTTTAGCTCATATTTTTTCGCCTATTTTTCACTAGAAGAATATAAATTATTATTATTATTAATATAAATTATTATTATTATCATTCAATAAATATTCTAATTAGGAACTCATTAAAGAGAATTTTAAAAAAAATCATTAAAGAGAATTTTAAAAAAATAAGTATATTTTTTTCTCATTAAAAAAGCGAATTTTAATGAGGGAAACTTGAATAATCGAATTCGCTCGACGAAGATAAAAGTCATTCTCGCTGTGCTTATGGTTGATTATAATTTATGAATTATTCGAGCAATGCTTTAAAAAAAATTGCTTAAATTTTTCGAAATCTCGTCATTCCTCTTTTTCCCAAAAAAATCTATCTAAAAACATCTAAAAAAACATATCTGATTTGGCTACAAGGATGAAATTCATTTCTTCGCCAGGCAACAATCATTGCTGGAAAAAGAATTATGGTTCCTTAGCATTATCCAGAGATTTTTCTATTGATTATTCTAAGTATATATTAATTTTTTGATTTTAATTGAATAATTTTCTTTTTTGTTACAAAATTTATATTTAAGAAATTTTCACTTACATAATTTTTCTATTGCATAATTTTTACGACTTTTCATATATTTTTAAATATTTTTCAATAGTTAATATTTGTAAATTGAAAGAAATAAAATCAAAATTGAGTGAAAGTGAATAAAATCCATTGGATTTGATTCGATAAATACGAATGCGATTAGAATTTTATTAGAGAAGTGGAAAAAGGAAGGAAAACGTCGAGAATAGCTGTTGCATGATGAATCGAGCTGAAATTAGGAAATAGTCGATTAGGGGGTTCGAGAAAAAATTAAATTTGAATAGCAGTTTAAATAAAATGATTTATATTCTAGGCGGTGTTTACAAGAAACATCCAATTAAAAGTTTATTCATTTCTTAATAAACCCTTCTGAAAACATCCATAATTTAAAAGGCGAACACATTTTCATTTTTCCATTCTTACTTGCCATGAAGATGTTGTACTGCAGCGTGCAAGGCAGCTGCTCTCACTGGAGCCATGTTGACCCGCCGCAAGTCAAGCATAACTCAACAACAGGGCACATTGGGTACCACAACTACGGTCAAGGGTCGTGAATCAGTTGCTATACTTGCCGAAATGCTTAGTGTTGACCCGAGCGCATCGAAACAAAGACCAGGTATATATTTTTATTCATTTTAGCACCGTAATTAAAATGTTCATTAATTGGAGGAAATAAATGAAATGGTAAAGAAAATAAAGAAAACATGAGAATATGGCGGGCGACAAGGACAATCTTAAGTTACCCAGTAATTTCTTTAGTTTGGTTTATATCCAATATGATTATAATTATTATTATAATTAGGTTGCAGTAAACAGATAAACAGATTTAAACAGATTTTATGTCGAAATATTTCATCAATTTAGCCAAAGATTTGGTATTAAAAATTTTTACGGCGACATTTTCAGTTGATTTTCCTTAGTTTTCTCCAAGTCTTCCCAAGTTTCGGGAAATTGATTGGTTGAGATAACAACAATTTGTGAAAATTGTTTCTGTTTTATGTGATATTCCCACGAGATTCGCTTGCAGCTGGTCCGGCAATAACATAAAATTTTATCAAAATATGAAGCATTTCTAGATGTTCAAGGTATTTGGATGAAAATCATTATAAAAATTTCTCTGGATTCCCGAATGATGCCAAGAAAAAATGAACAGTTTTTTATTTTTTCCTAACGTCCTTGAAAAAAAACATTCGAAAAGCCACTACAGTTTTTGATCACCATTAATCAATGATTATATAACACAACAGCAGTGCTATAAAATATTTTATGAATTAGCAATTCGAACAAGCCATATGGTGCACAATTTTTTTTGCAAATGAAATAACTTTATTTTATTAAAAGGACATAATAATCTTTATAATACGGCATGGCTTTGTTTTCGGCTGGCTTAGCCTTAGATTATTTGATTAATAGACATTGTCCTTCTCAATAATTAGACAATCATTTTTATCAGTTACCTTGATGCATGATATGTTAAGCTATATTTGGATTTGACTTTCACTAATCATTTAACTTTATGTATAACTGATAACGATTTTCAATTAATTGAAGAGTGAATAGGCTTCTTATTTTCATCAATATAGTCTGGATTTAAACTGGTTTTTTTTCCAGAAATTTTTCGAAGCGGCATTTTCGATCATATTCTCAGATTTTGCTGCTTGATTTCGTTAATCTCAGTATGTTTAAATACACCACAAACGATTTCATATTTTCCTTCGTTGTTTTACATTATTTGCTTTACTGATGGCATTATTACTATTTTATTTCTTCTCGAAGCTGTAATTAAAATTGCTACTACAGGATTATTTGCGGTAAGGCCTTTTAATATTCGAAGACAATTTTCAAAAATAATCCATCGCTTCATGCCAGAAAAATCATTGAAAAATTTATCTAATGTTATTAAGGGAAAAAATTATTAAATGATTCATCATGAAATTTTCATTACGGTAGGTTTTTGGCAGTAAAAATTTTTTATTGGGCTTTATTGTCAAGAATTATGAAAGCCAAAGTACTACTGGGTTTTCCTTAGACTAATTTTCGACTAATTTTCTTGAAAATATTTTTTTTAAGAACGCGAGAGACACATTAAATCTTTTGATTTCCCTATTTTTGATTCAATTCATCTTTTAAGGGTTTTTTCTTATCATTTTTTTAAATGGAATATTCTTTCGTGCTAAAAAATATGGAAAAAATATGGAAAAGCTAAAATTTAGCGCTTTTGAAGTTCTTTTCAGCAGTCCTTTCCCAATGGCAATATAGCTTAAATTAAACAAATAAAAAAAATTATACAAATAAATTTTCCATAAAAATTTTCGAGTTATCGAAAATATGCCATTCTGCTTTAACACCAAAAACGCTATTGATTCTAGCATAAAAATATAATTATGTTTGAAACGCATGCAATATTTATCTTAAGCTACAAGTTAAATCCTTAAGTCAGTTTCTCAAATCAATTCTTAACGTTCATCGATTTTTTTATCAAAATGTACTCTTAATTTGCATCAATTTGAAATTTGAAATTTTCAAAAATAACGACAATCTGAGTGCTAAATGAGGAAGCTAAAAGCATGAAAAACACTAGTTGAACTTGGAACCACGCTTGACAATTTAATTAATTACGGTTGGATAAAAAAATAGCTGCAACAATATGATTCGGGTGTAGCTAAATGTGCTCATTTTTACTTTTGGTGAAAGTTAATGTTTCTATTAACTTGGTGCTGGGTCAAAGCAAAATAAAAGCCTATCATCCTTTCACTCATTTATTCAACAAATATTCAAGTAACTGAGATTCATTCCAGACTGAAAACAGTTATTTGAGAGAGCGATGGTGCCAGTTTGATTGTTTTCTTCTGTTCTTACATATCGTCTCAGTAGGTTTGACTGCTTTCGAGTTATTTACCATATGGTTTCCACAGTTTGGCTTAGTTTATAAGCAGTGGTATGGAGTTATTCGATCACCGCGTCCATTCATTATGGTTCGATTTATTAGATCCATAATACGCTTCAAACTGCCCAAAAATCGTATTCAGCAAATCATCAAGTAAGAATTGTTTGAGATAAAAAACTTTATTATTGGAATTTTTAAAAATGATACTAATTCTGTACTAATGTACTAATTCTATGTGACTACATTAAATTTGTTAGTTGCATTCACCATTTCTGATTAGGTTTACTGTCTTCGCAAATTTTTCAAGGAATCATTTGAGTCACTAAAAGCACTGCAGTAGATTTTCAGCACCAAGTGGATTTTTAGTTTAGAGCAAAGTCGAAAAACTTGGTTCTTAAGAAATCTTGAAAAATAATTACTAAGCTTTTATGCCGTAAGCGATGTGATTAACTGCTAACAAGAAGAAATCATTTCGAAGCCTTTAAATTTTTTAAATTTCGCTACACTATATTTAAATAATTTCCATAAATCCTATGAAATTTGCCGCAAATTTTTCGTTGATAATTTTTGGTAAAAATTTTTTGTTGCAAAAGGCTTTCGATTAATTTATGTTATATGTTTAATTAAAAATGGTTTATTTTATTTATGAAAAATTTTTTATTCGATCATTTAAGGTTTTTCTTTTCAATTTGCAAAATTTATGCAATTCATAAAGGTTTAAGCCAATTTAAGAAACCATCTTAGAAAAGAATGAGAAAGGCAAAAGGCCTTAGCAGCTGTATGAGGATGGTTCTTTTTAAGCTCTTATGACCTAGGTTCATACCCTTGGTTAAGGTTCCACAGAGTTTTTTTAGTCGCCATGGTGGAACAATAATCAAAATGATTCAGTGAAGCGGAAATCTTGTAAATCTTTTTTATTCAGACGTTCATCGCAACAAATCCAGAATGTCACAATTTTCTTCATGTTTTTTATGGCATTTTATGCTATTATGGGAGTGCAGTTGTTTGGTCGCATGGATTATCACTGTGTACTTCCTGGAACAAATATTTCCAATGTAACGATTGCTGATCTTGCAATACCCGACACAATGTGTTCACAGAAAGGTGCTGGCGGTTATGAATGCCCTTCGAATATGGAATGTGTTAAACTTCATATGAGTGCGCATGCCGAAGGATTCTATGGAATGTTTAATGATTTTGGTGATTTTTAAAATTTTTTCTTAAAAGTTCTTAAAAATTGATCTTATTAATTGATCTTATCAACTAATTTTTCCCAATTGTTGACGATAGATTTCTGTGAATGCGATCTCTACTTTCTGAATTTGAGGACCAAATCCAAAAATTTTATTCGATAAAAGATCGAGTATCGACATGCTATGAAGCCACCTATATTACCCATACCCGAAGTGGTGAGTGTAGTTAGAAGAATAACGAGGAGGGGACAGGTATTTGTGATTATTTAGCATTGTTTGCAAAATAATTTGTCCCAAGTTATAAAGTATTGTTCAATTAATGAAGTATGTCGTTCTAGCGAACGCATTATAATTTTCATAGCAAAAATGATAGCGGAGCTGTTTCTATTTTCAGGAAATGATTTTTCAGGAAGTAGTTTGTTCACTGTTTATATGGCTGCTTCTCAAGAAGGATGGGTTTATGTCTTATATGATTGTCTTGACACATTTCCATCTTATATTGCATTTTTCTACTTCGTAACTCTCATATTCTTTCTTGCATGGCTCGTAAAGGTATATCCAATCACCATTTGATTTTTAATTGGTACCATTTTTCCTGTTTCATGTCGTATTTAATTTAATGTCTTATAGGATTATTTCAAAGAATTTTGGTTAATTTTTGAGCCTATTTCTTATGATCAAATTGCTATTAAAATTATTAAAATTTATGAAAATTTTAATATGAAATAATTTCTTTTCAGAATGTATTTATTGCCGTTATAACGGAAACATTTGCGGAAATACGCGTTCAATTTAGCGAAATGTGGCAAACACGTGAAATAACTTCAGAAGACAACTTTACGCAGGTTAATTTATTTGTTATCTTATCATTTTATTGCATAGAACGAATTTATCTCAGTTTTTAATCTGTATATCATTTTTCCATAAATTTAGAGATTAGAACTAACAGAAGAAGGCTGGAAATTGGTCGCTATTGATGCTGAAAAAATTAATATGAAGAGTTCATCAAGATTTTTATATGATGTAAATTTTCATTTTTATTTATTCAAATAAAAATAAGCAAGTAAGCGCTCATAATTTCCGTCCAGGCTTGATCTACTGACTGCTCGCGGAATGAGGAAACGAAAGAACCTTTTTTTGGAGCCACTTGGAGACCGAAACTATGTCCTTGGCATTTCTTGTTTTTCGCATTTATTCATGCTAAAAGAGTGGAGAGTCGAATTATATTGCATGAAATGATAATTTAGCATAACCATAGTGCTCCTATTGTTCTATTTCAAAATGAACTCGTTTTAAATTTCTTTGCAGTAAAATATTTCCAACGATAAGATATGAGATTAAATCAATTAAAATTTCTCGTTAAAATATTAAAATCAATAATTATCTATTAAAATTAATTAAAAAATGTTCCATGGACATTAAACATGAAGAAAGCAATTACACATGATTTGCAGTTAGTAAAATCAACACCATTTCAATTCGCTATGATGGTTCTTTTGATTCTTAACGCAATTATCAACGCTTCGTTTGTTTATAAGCATGATGAAACGGATGAAGAACGAAAATTAATTTATTATTATATTGAGGCAAGTCAAAATTTATTTGTGGAGATGAACGATGAATAATAAAAATCGCTTTTGCTGCTGTGCATCATAAGGGCAAATAGCAAGTAGAAAAGATATTAGGGTGTCCAACCCTTAGGACGCATACGCACCAAGAAAGTTGGTAAAACAACCCATCGTAAATCTCAGAACTGAAAATTGAAGTTAGTTCTATCGAACCAGATACTGGTGTACTAGTACCACAAAAATGTGGTCAAATATTCCATAAAAATGTTCAAATGTTTTATATTTTTTATCAATATTTCATTATTTTTTATACACTCTTCACTCTTCATTTTATCATAAAAAATACCAAAAAAATAGATGACATTTTTTTTCTTCTTTCATATTTCACTGTTTTACGTATTTTATATTAAGCAATTCAAGGAAGCTAAAAAGTTGAGTGATTGCTTTAGATAATACACATTTCTTAAATTAATTAACCTCGTAGATTCATTGAAATAGCATTAAAAAAAATGATCGAAAAAACCGTGAAACTGTTTTGTCTCAGTCTCGTTTGAAGACATTCCAATTTATATTTTCTTAAATTTTTTAAAAAGTATAAAAACTTAAAAATTGAAACATCTAAAATATTAAGTGGGGGAAAGCAAAAAAAAATTAAGAATTTAAAAAATAAGATTATAAAAATAAGACCCCTCTATGAAATAACATTCGAGGGTTCGGCCGTATTCCATCCAAACGCATTTGAGTGGTCCTTAAGATGGAATAGACCAAAATCTTTTGCTAGAAATAGTAAGGAAATATTTAAAGAATTGTTAAATTAAATAAAATCGAATCTCTCTGTAAGCCTAAATGAGCAAAAAAAAGTCACGAAAATTTTTCAAAATATCCTCTAAAAATCCTTAAATGAGTATAGAAATTAGCCCTTAATTTGGCTTAGCGATAAATTGATAAAGATAAATATATTATCAGCATCGAGCATATAAGACGAAATTTATTCAGTCCAATTTTCACCGTGGTTGTCGATATACTAGCATCTCTTACATCTTTTCATAACTGTCAGCAAAAAAGGTCATCATCAGCTTATTCAATGCTCTGGACTGGTCTGTACGCCTCTTAAGTATCAGCAAGTGGTGTCCATTCAGAAACAATTACGAAATTTGCCCAATGGAAAAACCACTTGATCATCGTGGTATTCAAATTCATGGCTCGATAAGCATTTTTCAAGTCTAAATGAGCCCATTTTACTGCGACTTTTTTTAGGTTATATTCACGCTGATATTCAATATAGAATGTGCTTTAAAGATAATGGGTATTGGTTGGAAGGGATATGTTCGAAGAAGTTTATATAAATTCGAATTTATCCTTTGCATTGGGAGTTCACTGAATATTATTAGACCGCTCTATTCAACTAATATTTTCACGTATTTTCAAGTTTTTCGTATTGCTCGCCTTATTAAAGCATCACCAATGTTAGAGGACTTCGTATATAAGGTGATCCTTTTTCGCGGCATTTAATCCATTTTATCAACAATCTACCTTATCAATAACTTCCAGCAGTTGGTTTTGAGGCAAATCACTTTTTTTCGGAAAAATATAAAATTTTGGAGTGGCAATTTGCACTGAAAAATACAAAAATATGGATAAAAAAATAAAAATTGTCATATTAATTTCCATTGATTATTGATATTTAACCTTTCGTGAATAAAGATATTTTATTTTAGATTTTCGGACCCGGAAAAAAACTAGGTGGCTTAGTTATTTTCACTATGGTTTTGTTGATTATTACTTCGGCTATATCGTTGCAATTATTTTGTTATGTACCAAAATTGGATAAATTCCGCACTTTTCCTCAGGCTTATCATTTAAATCATTTATTTAAATAATTCACTGAATCTTACTAAATATTTCTTTTAATATGCAAACATTAACATTAACATGCTTTATCACTGATTTCAAAAGAAATCGTAGGGGAAACGTTTTGAAAAATTTTAAAAGAGAGCATTGGCCAATTCTATCTGTCCGGCCAAATTGGTTACTCAGATGAGATACTTCCACACTAGAATCACTTAGAAGTATAAGAAAATTTCCAGTATGACTCTGACTTTCAATAGATAGTTCAGTAGATATCATCAGGAACGGAACCTATGATGATCTGGCTTAAGTCGAAGCAATGTGCTATCCAGCCATCTAGAATGTCAATTTTGCAGATTACTCAGATCATTTATGTTAACACTTCAAATTATTCAGGCATTTATGTCAATGTTTCAAATAATTACTCAAGAAGGTTGGACCGATGTTGTTGTCGAAATACTTCGGACAACAAATGAATCGATGGTTCCTTTCGTTGCAATATATTTCGTTGGATATCACCTTTTTGTTACGCTAGTTGGCTTTTTCAAATAATTATGAAATTTTCAATAATTTTGAAAATCTTCTTGCTAAATTATGTGGCACAAATTAATTACATTTGATTTAGATAGTGCTTTCGCTTTTTGTTGCCGTTATTCTCGATAACTTAGAAATGGACGAAGAGCTTAAAAAAATCAAACAACTGAAGGCAAGAGAAGAGGTATTATTGAAATTTTGAATTATTTCTTCTAAAAATTACTTTTCACAAAACTTATTTTTATAAATGAATTTTAAAAAATTAAAATCTTTGGAATAGTTCTGGAAAATGTTTCACACAGACAGTAATCAATTCGATAACTATCGGGATATTAGGCCATTTATCTAGCATTATTTAATTTTATAGATAACATGCATGCGAACCACTTTACCATGGAGGCTGCGAATCTTCGAAAAGTTTCCGACTCGACCACAAATGGTCGAACTGCGTAAAGCTTCAAGCGAATTTCCCCTTCCAAAAGTTCGACAAAGTTTCACTCGACAATTTACTGAGAATGATGGTATTATGATGAATGTATTCGTTGTAAATGGTAATGGTTCTTTGATTCTTTTGGCCCAATAATTTTTCATTTCATTTTATTGAAATCCTCATTCATTCGTTCAGTATTAATACAAGCACATGGCGTTCGCGCTGCTCGGCTGGTTTTCAATGAATAAATAACATCAAATATGCAAATTATTACGATAAATGAGTGACAAATGAAATAATTCCACATTTTCCATATTTATAGTCTTTTAAATATATTTTGTTAATCGTGCTAAAATCGTGAAATGATCGAATGTCGCTTTGAATAAAGTCGAAACTTCTTTTCTTCTTCTTTTGCTCGTAGTGAATTTGCCATTAAAAGTGAAACTTGCATGACGATACTTCCATTCCTAAATGAATTCGGCTAAGCAGTTTCCAGCTTCCCTGAAACCGGCGGCATCAACTAAATAGGAATGGTGTGTGCTATTGTGAAAAAAAATTAAGTTTAGCGTTCAGGAAAAAACTAAAAATAATGTTTAGAGGATAATGGTGGGCAAAAAACTCTATTTCGAAATATCTCGAATGCTTATATCAAACAATTATCAATTAAGGTTCGACAAATTGGACAACTTTCATCAAAATGGGCAGTACGAACTCTCATCGAGTTAGACCTATTCAATGTCATATAAAATAATTCGCTTTTAGGGGACCTTTTTTAATTTTATAAGTTATTCTTCGATGATTTCAGGGAATCCAATAACAATCGAGCTTTATTATCCGATTCAAATCAATACATTCCGCAGCTTGGACGAATTGGTACTCGACATTGGCGAGATTCAAGGTAAATCATTTCGTTTCACTTATTAATTCTCTTCTCTTTATTCTTATTTGCTTAATGGGATTAGCTAGAAAATTAGTAATCTAAGTGATAAAATTCCAGTTAATCTAAAATTATTTAATTTAGTCGTATGCGAAATCGATGTACAGATCCGTCAACGAAATTGAAAGCAATGTACGAGCATTTTAAAGAAAATGGAGATGTAAGACCGGTTGATTCGGCTCCTAAAGATGACCTCAAGCAAGGTGAAATAGACATCAAGGCATTGCAGCAAAAACGTCAGCATGCAGAACTTACAAGGTCAGTGTGTTTTTTTTAAAAATTTTCATATCATAGAGCTATCCAGCGATTTTTAAGGCGAAATAATCAACTAAATTAATTAGCGATTTGGCGTTATTTTGGCATTTACCATTCTTCTTCTTCTAATAACTCTCACTATTTTGGTGTGGTCTGAGCCCACTGGCTTTTAGGACGATATCCTTTCGCCAGAGAACCACTTATGGTTCGAACAGACCGCAAAGATACATCACTGCACTCTTAATGAAAGATTTATCTTTATGAAATTGAACTTATGATTTGACCGTAGTTCTAGGATGCTTGAATGCTTAACTTCCCTGTCGTTTGAAGTAGACTATTTGCTTTATGAAATGCGAGTATGTGTTTAAGAAATCGTATCGAGGAAGAGATTCGAGAAAATCATCCATTTTTTGATCGACCACTTTTCGCGGTTGGTCGAGATTCTCGTTTAAGGCGAATTTGTCAAGAAATAGTTTATGCTAAATATTTACCTGAAAAAATTGATAATGTTACTGGAAAGCAAATTCAAAGGAGATATAAGCAACTTCAGTAAGAAATTTTCTTCTTAATAAATTATTTTCTACATGAATAAATATTTTGATTGCATTTGAAAATACATTTTTTTTCCATAAATATCATAATTGGGAAAAATTGTGAAGAAGCAAAAATTTTTAGCGCATTAGTCGGCTTATTAACATATCTCGACTGGACTATGGTACTTATAACTGCACTGTCTTGTGGTTCAATGCTTTGTGAGAGTCCGTGGCCTACTACTGGAGAGAATATGATATTCAATAATCCCTATTTGCAGGTAATTTTTTTAAGAAAATGTTTAGTTATTTATTTTTTGCTGCTTTAAGAATTCATCCTTCAGATCTGCGAATACCTTTTTGTTGTGTCGATGACGTTTGAACTCGCTGTTAAGATTCTTGCCAATGGATTTATATTCACACCAAATGCAGTGGTTCGCGATGTTGGCGGTGTGATGACTCTTTTCATTTATATCGTTAGTTTTCTTCACATTTTCCTAAATCAGGTTTTTCATTTCGTCGCTTTTCATTTTTCCTGTTGTTTTGCAGTATTTATTATTATTTCATTATTTCCAGGATTAGCGAAATTCGATTAATTATAAGGAATTTCATGATTATAAAATTAACCAAAGCCAAAGCTTCTTGTGCAGGCATTGCCAATTTGAAATTTAGTGCGGTAGAAAAATTTATGGAGTAATTCCTCTCCCTTGCTGGATATCTGAAATCATAAAATATTATTTAATGAATATTTTTTGCAAATTATTTTTTTTATAGACAAGTTTTATATATTTAATATGGATGCCGAACCATGTCGAAATAAATTCACTAGCCCAATTAATGATGATATTTCGCGCGATGAGGCCACTACGAATATACACGCTTGTCCCACACATACGAAGAGTAGTGGTTGAATTATGCAAAGGGTTCAAGGAGATACTTCTCGTACGAAATTTACTTTTTTTTCCAATTTTGTATAAAATTAAAGGGATTGAACGATCAAGTGGCACGTTGCTTCAAGTTACTCAAATCAGTCCAGTAGAATCCAAGGACTCACCCACCTTCCTCTTCTTTTAAATGAAGTAAGGGAAGGATTTTCGAAGAATATTTTTCAATTTTTTTAGGTAACAATCTTGCTTGTTGTACTTATGTTCGTTTTCGCCAGCTTTGGTGTTCAAATCGTTGGTGGCAAATTAGCGGCTTGTAATGATCCAACAATTACAACAAGAGTAAATTTAATTTATCATTAAAAAAAAAACTGAATCAGATATTAAGGATTGGTCGAGTTACTCGATCCGCCGACCACCATTGGTTTAATTTCTTGCTCTTGTGCAGACCTGAATAAAATCTTAAATCTGGACGGAAGACACCACCTATAACTATGTACCCAAGGAGTCAATGGATCCAACCCAACCAGTAATAGTATTGATAGAAGAGGAGAAAATATGTAATATCTAAATGGGAGAAGCAAGAATTTAAAGAATTATTTTGAACAGGAAAGGTGTACTGGTATTTTTGAGCAAAAAATATTCGTCACTCGTATGGAAGTATATGGTAAAAATGATGACAATCTTCATCCAAAAATATGGGTTCCACGAGTTTGGTTAGCTTTTCTTATTAGCTTTTCTTATTACTTTTATTGTTATCATTGTTATTATTGCTTTTAATTATTATTATAATTGATAACTTTAATAGATGAATAGATTCATCTATGCATGAATAAATTCTATAAGACCAAAAAGATCACCAAAAAGATTGGAACAATCGATCTCTTTTAGGACCAATCCAAGGAATTTTAATTTTGATCACATTGGCAATGCAATGTTGGCTTTATTCGAAACGTTGTCCTATAAAGGATGGAATGTTATTCGAGATATTCTTTGGGTTCGACAAGGCCCTGTAAGGCTCTTCCTTGCCTTTTTATGTTTATTTAATTTTAAAAATTTTGGTATCTTTGGCGAAACCAAAATTCTGACTTATTAATTTTAAATTTTAATTTTAATTTTAAAAGCGAGATAAATAATTATAAACAAATTTAATCGAACTTATTTAGTGGGCCGTTTTATTTATACATATATACGTTTTTATTGGCTGCATGATTGGTCTAACTCTATTTGTTGGTGTCGTAGTTGCTAACTACACCGAAAATAGGGTGAGTTGTTCAGAGTTCTTTCAATCGGGGGATAAGGATTTTTAATGAAGCAGGGAATTGTTTCTTAAGGCAGTACAGTGAAGGTGGATCTTTGGATTTATGTTCAATATTGAAGTCTTATTTTTATAGTTTGTTGTAATTTATGTAAAATTAGAGGAACATCATAAGGAGATTAGAGCTAAAGGCGATTTCAAATCGTTCATAAATAATGACGATCTATAGGGAACTGCACTTTTAACAGTGGATCAACGACGTTGGCATGATTTGAAAGCTCGTTTAAAAATGGCTCAGCCACTCCATGTTCCACCGAAACCAGCTGAATCTGCAAAATTAAGGACACGTTTATACGAAATCACTCTTAGCAAATGGTTTAAGCAGGTTAGATGCTTCTCATATGATAGTCTGATAAGGGAACTGATAAGTGATGATAAAATCAAGTTGTTCTCAACATATTTCTTAACTTTCGATATGTAAAGGCGATTTAGTCTAATGTTAGATATTGCAGGCATTTGCCATTCTTGTTGTCATAAACTCGATGACACTCTTCATTCCATGGAATGTTGAAGAAGAAGAGAATAGTTACAACTCAGTTTTATTTATGACAGGCTTATCTGCTGTTGCTAATATTTTATTTACTGTTGAAGTATGTTTCTAAAATTTTTTTACAATATTCAATACTTTGGCCCAAAAAGTTGAAATTCATACCAGTATTTTTGTTTGGTTCATTCCATGAAGATTTCATGAAGATTTGATCAATCTTTCACGCTTCCTATATTACAGCGAGTTATGTAATTTCTATAATTTGGCTCGCTAGCTTTTTTTTAGATATTCTTGAAAATGATAGCTTTCACTGTTCGTGGCTTTTGGCAATCGAGGAGGAATCGCATCGATCTTCTTATTACTGCTTTGGGCTTATTTTGGATAGTAACACATTTTGTAATGGCTTTACCAGCGAGTGCTGTAGGTGGTCGATCACAACTAAAAAAATTTACTTATACATTCGGTTATATCGTTGTGATTCTGCGATTTTTCACAATAGCAGGTAATTAGGTAATTGTCTATTAATTGTTTGTTCACAATTATACGGGGAAATTAATTTTGTTAAGAAATCACAAAAAGAATGGAAATTCAATTAATGAATTCATGCGGAATAAATTATACAACTTTAAAAATCTTTATTAAATGAATGAAATCTTTAAATAGGATTTATTCTCCTCAAAAGAGAAGAGCCATATTCTCGACCTATTCGACTTATATTAGTCAATATTATTAATCATAATTTAGGAAGGAAGACAACTTTGAAAATGCTGATGTTAACAGTTGTGATGAGTATGGTACGAAGCTTATTCATTATCACGGCGATGTTCTTATTGGTGCTGTTTTATGCATATGCTGGTGTTGTTCTGTTTGGGATGGTGAAGTACGGGCAAGCAGTATCGAAGTACAATATAATTCTCAATATAATTTTAAATTATTTTTACTTGATTGAAACGAAATATTTTGACAAAAAAAAAGTTTTATAGGTCTATGGTTTCAAGAAATTTCATGACAAATTAGAACAATCATTAGGAAATTAATTTCCTCCATGATATTTCAAATAATTGAAACGAATTGGAAAATGATAAAAAAATTTAGACACGTGAATTTTCGAAGTCCAAAAGAAGCGTTGGTTGTTCTATTTAGAAGTGTTACTGGCGAAGATTGGAACGATATTATGCACGATTGTATGGTAAATTTTCTTATTGAAAATTATCTCTGCTAATTTTTTAAATAAATAATACTTTTCATTTTCAAATAGCCTGCAAAACATTCGGGATAATCTGGGAATGTGGAAAATATTCTATAAAAATCAGCGAGCAAATAAATAATATTAAAAAACTGCATATTTTAAGTACATTTTAATATTTTAAGTGATTCGAACCGATTTCTTATTTTCACTTTTCTAGTACTATTTTAAAAATTCGAAATCAATTTTATGGATTTTTATCTATTTATTAAAAATTTAAATTTTAGAAAAGTCCTCCACTATGCTATTGGAAAGAAGGCGTAAATTACTGGCAAACTGACTGTGGAAATTATTTCGGAGCGATCTTTTATTTTTGTTCATTTTACTTAATTATAACTTATATCGTTTTGAATCTTCTAGTAGGTAAATTATCAATCACTTTTTTTGCATGATCGTTGTGAAATAAAACTATTTCGTACTTTTCAAGGATATTATTTGAATTTTGACAATAGTTATTTGGTAAAATTATTGCGGAAAACTTTTTAGTTATCTTTCGTTAAGTTTAAGTGGAATAGAAGTAGTCGAGAAATTTCAACGTCATATGTTGTAAGTTTTTGTAGAATCGTTTTCTTTGTGATAAGATTTTTTATATGAAACGAATAAGTAGTTAATATTGAGATTAAGAATTTATGCGAGGGAATCGGTAGGGCGATAAAAGCACAAGTGGAACCATTTTCCCGTTATTTTAATGGTTTAATGGTTTGCTTCTCAGTACGATATTCTATTCAATCAACTATTCCTTCTTCTTCTTCTAACAGTGGAATAGAAGTAGCCGAGAAATTTCACCTGGTTAGGCTGGTTGCACTGGCCACAAGGATAAGATTGCTCGGTCCGACGCTATCGCTAGTAGTAATAGAAGCGATTCCTTTTCCCATTCTCTAATTCAATTATTCCATCTCTCATAATGAAAGTTCCCTAAACGCATTTCAGCCGTTATTATCGAAAATTTCTCGTTATTTTATTCAAGTGAAGAGGATGCATTACTCAGTTATGCGGACATTCGCAATTTTCAGCAAGTATGGAATATGGTCGACATTGAACAGAAGGTAATTTATGCAATCCAAAATACATGGCCTATAAGATTACGGTTTTGTAATTTTGTACCACTTTTGCAAAAATCGTTTATTTGTAGACCAATTACCAAGTTATTTTTTAAATAATCGTATAAGGTTGAACTCGATCTTTGTGAACTAAAAATTAGAAAATGTAGTTTTTTTGGGATCCTTTAAGAAATATTTTTTAAAATGTTGACGATTAATGGGCAAAAAAAATTCATTCACTTAATATCGCAAAAATTATTTGTGTGCATGGAAAATTTCAGCGTACGATACCGGTTTGGCGAGTGAAATTCCTTCTACGCCTACTGAAAGGTCGACTCGAAGTTGACCCAACAAAGGATCGACTTTTATTCAAACATATGTGTTATGAGATGTTTCGTATCCATAACGGCGATGATATTTCGTTTCACGATGTTCTGAAGTAAACTTATTAAATGCATTTTTAAAAAACGACTCCTATTGACTTTAAAAATCAATCCTGAAAATATGCTTTTCAGTATGCTTTCATATCGAAGTGTTGATATTCGAAAATCGTTGCAGTTGGAAGAGCTTTTACAACGTGAAGAATTGGAATATATAATTGAGGAAGAAGTTGCTAAGCAAACAATACGTTCGTGGCTTGAACGATGTTTAAGGCGAATTAAAGCCCAACAAAATGTACCATCGTTTTTCTGGTTTACTTAAAGATAAAAAAGTCATGATGCATGTCATGATGCATGCTAATTCTTATTTTATACAGAAATGAGGCTATGGCCTCATTATTTTAGTGGGACAGCATCTTTCATAGTATCGTCAGCAATCGTTTCGTAATATTCTAATTCGTAATATTTTCAGAAAGATATACCTCTTATCGCTCAGCTGAGGCCAATAATCAATGAACAACAATTTGTACTTGTCCAGAACCAAATTACAAATCAAATGAATGCACCAGATCAACCGGAACAAAATATGGAAACGAGTGAAAATGACGAGAATGAATTGTTGAGGCGGAAAATTGCGCGAAAATCAAGGCGTAGTAGTATACCTGAAATTGTTGGGGTATGTCTGAAATATTTCGGCGTCACATGCGTATTATGAATGTCGCATGCAATTTTTATTCATGCAATATTCTCCTTCATATAATATGATTGTTTTATTTGAATCTTTTCATGTACTAAATTCGGTCGTTTTTGAGGAATTTATGAAAATAACTCGAAAGAAATATTTTAGAAGAAATGTTTCAGGAAGCTGCAAAAAAGTTTATTCTAAGCGGAGGAAAGCAGAAAGCAATTTACGGGAGCCAAACAGATCGACCAACCATAACCAATGATCGCAAAAACTTGTTAACTTCCGAGAAAACACTATCAAATCCGATATCATGGAGCGAGAAACGACCAACTGTTAAAGTATCATAATTCTTCATCAAACGGCGAATATAAAATGCTACTTGGGTTTCTGCGGGGTTTTTATTTCCTTCATTGAATCACTCAACGGCATCAGAAGCTTTCTATTCCACATTCCATTGGCTCTTACCCAGCTTTCTTTCTGATTTCTTTAGGTCTATGCCGTTACCTTATATTTTAATCCCCTTTGCTGATTCGCTATTTGACATAACCCAATAAACTTCGGCGCATTATTACTCCAAAAATTGCATTATTAATCAGTTCTACATTAATTGCTGTTGATTGTGATTCTTTGTTGAGATAAGGCAAACTGTTCCGTTTTTTACGACCCCATAGTAGCATTTTGAATTCGATTCCATTTAGCCACACATATCTTTACCATTTCATTATATCAGTTTTTTATCAGAGCTGCGTGGTCCTTTGCACTTTCAAAGTGGCTGCTTTTGATTTTGGTAGTTAATTTTTTAAACGCATAAACTATGGTTTATCAATCACATTCATAACTGAAGGGGGAACTAAATTCATTTAAAGATGTAAATTTCTCCTCATCGAACACCTTCTGAACTATCGTCTATTGTTTAACTGCCGATACTTTTATTGCGATCACACTGCCAACTGTTTTCTAGTAAAAACTTTTTTTCACGAATTGTAAGAGTACACACTATACTTCTGCAAATATCCTTTCATTCTGCACTTTTTTATTGTCGTTTAAAGTGTTTATTAGAGAAAACATTAATTTGTTAAGATAATCCACAGTAATATTTTTTTTCTTTTTTAAAAGGGCCCTCACAATTATTGATTGAACCCGCTTCACTGGTTTGTCCCATTGGGCGACATGCCAGCGAGTCCCTTGGCGACAGAAATACAAGTGAGCCGCCAGCTTCACCCGGATTTTTGTACAGGTTTACTCCTGCTGGGAATCGAACCTCAATGCCGGCGCTCCCAATTGAGCAACAACCCACTTAGCCATCCCATCCACACTTGGATACAATTATATAAATATAAATGTGGCGTAAATGAAGCGAAAGCGAAAAATTTTCCAGAAAAAATGATTAATTTTTAAGAGATTTAGAAATAAATTTGGCATGGTTGATTTTTTTTACAGATGTCAACTTATGAATTGCCAGATGTTGAAGAATTTGGTGAAGAAGATGGTGAGACGATGAATATTGCAAGTCGGAGACATTCAATAGAGTCCGTGTTTCTCTCAGCAGCCGATGCGGGTAATTTCGAAAAATTCTAAGTTTTTCAATTTGAAAAAAAAATAAAAATGAACTTTTCGCAATTACTTTTTAGTGAAAAAGATTAATGAAATTATTCGCTAGAATTGTCTTTTTTAAATTTTCCTTCCGAATGAAATTTCAAAGACTTTAAATTTTGCAACAATTCACCATTCTATAATTACCTTAAATTTTATTCAGTAATAATTAATTATAACGAGTGCAAATAATTTTTTATGAGCAAAAAATGAGCTCATATATTGAAATCAACAGAAGTAATTACTAATGATTACTACCGATAGCAGTTTGATTATCAGCAAATTTACTCACCAAATTCACCAAAATTATTCACCAAATTTAGGTGTTTCCTTGGTACTATCGAAACCATCAAGCGTTCAGTCAATCGATGTTTTACCTTCTTCTTCAGTGTACGATGCATTGCCAGATGTAAAAGGATGGTGGTCTGAATTAGCTCCACTTCCTAGCACATAATTTTAATTTCGTTTCAATTTTTCAGTAAAAATGAATGAATGAAAAATATGGCAAACAGATGGTTTATTAAATTATTTCAGCTTTTTTTTCTGTTATTAAATATTCTATTATTAAATTCTGTTATTAAATTATTTTTGAATATTTAACATGACAATATGTTTCCGATTTGCCTATATGCCTATATATATATATATATTTTTTTTCTATCTGATAATCGCAGTAAAACCACTTAGATATAGATGGGGCTTTAACAACATTGGGCCTTATCTATTATTTTTGTATATTTTTTTATAAATTGTGAAATAAACTCTACGCTATCAAACGATTTAAATCAATTGTAAAATTAGAATCGCTAGAAACGATGGTACCAGCCTAAAAAGAAAGGGTATAGTAAAAGATAAAGATTATAGTCTTTCAAAAGCAAAACCAGAAACTTTTGGAATTTTTAGGTGCATAACATTGGTTTACCTTAAAATTATTAATTATTGTATAATTAATTATTAATTATTATTAATTAATTTATTTTGTCAAATTTTTTTTTGAATATGTCAAAGCTGCTTTACATATGTCGCTGAAAAATAAGGAAGAACCTGAGCTTTGTCATATTTTATTATATTAAATTTATAGAATAAAAGATGATTGAAAATCCATTTTTGTTGCAGTTATTATAAATTTTGTAGCGATTTTGTAGTGAAGTCACAAAAGAAGAAAAATAATAAGAATAGGGTACTTGAGCACGCTTAATTATCTAGGAACATATTTAGGAACGTACAAATATTCGTCTAGGGAAATTTTTTAAAACGATATTCTTTACCCCATAACTTCGATTACTTTATAAAACCTGAGCGGATATCTCATTTTCCATTATCCTTGCATTTTTTATAAATACCATGTAAATTTGTGGTAAATTTAGATCTAAGAACTTCTCGGGATTCGTGGAGATCATTTCTTTGTTCACTTATTATCTGTTTGCTTATCAGTGGGTGTTAATTCAATGATATTAATTCAATAATAACACTGAGAATAAATCTTAAAATATAATAAACAAATAAATATATTTAATTTGCTTATACAAAAAAAAATATTTATATAGTTGCATTTAAACTAGTAAATCTTATAATTTTGGCTCATAAATATGTGATAAGCAGCAATAGTATTAATCAACCTAAACCTATGTGCTAAGTCAAACTGCTTTCACGTAATTTTTTCATTCACATCACAAATTATTGGAATGAACTCAGTAACTCTTTGCGTCTTCTAAAACAATAAATTAAAGTTTATGGCTCAGTTCAGAATTCCTCGTCAAAGCATTATTTCCTCATTGTTCTTCGTTCACCATTACTGCTTAAAATGTCTAAAAGGGTACTTTTGCTGATAAGCACTATTTATCTATTTTTTCTTCATTTTTCTATCATATAATATAATTTCTATTATATAAATATTGTTTTCGTTATTTTTTTGAGGTTTTTCTAGTTCTTTTGAGAAAAAATATTATTGGTATTTCCATAACCACTTTGCTTATATTTATACTAAATAAATGAATAAAGAAATAATGAGTTACTAAAATTTTAATTTGAATAAATTGAAGAATTTGATTTTTCCACTGCAATTAGACATTTCCATTTTTTTGATAAAATAAATTTGAATAAAATTTGATAAATAAAGATATTTGATATTTTTTATAATTTAAATAATATTCAAATAATTTAAATAACAAATGAGTTTTTATTTATGTAATGGTATACAAAAATATCGATAAAAAATAGATTATTATGAATGATAATATATGAATAAATAATAATGATAATATAATATTTAACTTAGCAATAATAATAATAATAATATTTATAAACCGACCGATATTTGCTCAATAAACGATTGATAAAACCATGTGACGCATAAATCTTTCAGACTTTTTTTTTCCTATTTTTTTTTAATTCTTTGAAATCATAACATTACGAAGCGACGATTTATAAAGGATGGTTTCAGTGCCAATGAACACCATGTGGTTGAAAAAAAAAATAAAAAATCCACAATAAATCGTTCATCTTTTATCGGTTATAATTCCATAAAATGAGGAAAAATCAATTTTTAATTTTTAATTTTAAAAATTTCAGTTATGCAAACGAAAAAAAATTTAAAAATAAAACAAACCGTTCATTAAAAAACGATAAAAACTCATAGCAGAAAAGTATAGTATTCGGTTAGGGTGAAACGTGTTTTACGTGTTATGTAGCGACAGATCTATCATTAGAATTGAAACTCGGGTGGTACTGGGGATTCGCCCATATTTTTATTCCCGAGTGGTTCTCTGACGAGTGAGCTTCATCAGCCAGTTTAGACAACCAAATTACGAAAAGCAAACACCATTAGAAGAAAAAAAAGAGAAAATTTTAAAAAATTGGTGCCCTTAAAATTTCTATTTTTATTCATAAAATTTTAATAAATTTTTGTAATTTTGTTTATTTCCCTTAAGTTTCCTTTATGAAAAATATCGAAACTACGGTGTGAACTTCAAAAAATCTTTCATTGAATTTCTTTCGCATCAAATTTATTCCCATTTCTATCGATAAAATATAAATACGAATAACTAAGCAACAACGCAATTTCCACATTTTTTAGACTCATTCAGATGTTTTTTAGATTATTTTCTGGCAATTATTCGTTTAATAATGAAATCTCGAATGATAGAAAACGTCTTATTAAAAGCGAAGCTTAAATGTATGGATGAACGGCTGAATGAACTTGAAGAAGTACAAATAATCTTCGCTCAAACAAATGTTTCACAAAAAAATTGAAATAGGCATTTTTTTTCAACTTACTCATATCATGATAAGCATTCGTTCCGCAAACATAAAACAAACAGCATTCGTTTCAACGATAAATATGATTCTATTCGCTGGAACAAGCGTCTGTTAGATTTTTAAATTCTGAATAAATAAATATTATATTTATATTGTTATATTATTATTAAATATTAAAATTATTACTATTAAAAAATAATATTATTGAACAAAATTATTCAATGATTTCGATAATAATCGTTAAATTTTTCATTTTTCATTTTTTAAGTTCTTATATTCTATTCGATAACTAAAATGGTTAAATTCATATAATTTTTCGCTATTTTTCGCTTTATTTCGCCATTTTTTCACAATACAACTAAAGCTTTTATAAATTATTTTAATATGATAATAAAAATGGTTATAAGGAAAAATATTATGCCGATTAACGTGTACATTCTATGCTTATTTTTTCTCTAATAAGGAGGAAGCGCCTTTGTTTCGTTAGAATTTTTGGTTAGACTTTTTCCCACTGGTCAAGTTTAGTGCATTTTCCTTCAATTATGAATAAATTTTTGTAGGAATTTCAGAATTCCGAAGAGTTTATAGAATATTTATAAAATAGAGGAAATAAGAAAAAATGAAAATTTCAACTTAAAAAAGAAAATCAAATTTTGGAAATTACAATTACAAACAATATTGAAAATTGGTTTTAAAAATTGGAAAATTCGAAGCATTTTTTTTATTTTAGCCATATTTTTTGATATTTTTAGTTAAAAACTAAGATCCGTTCAACGGAATTTAAGCAGTTGAACGGTTGCCATTTCCAGATTTCCACCACATCAGTTACGATTGTAACGATCGTTTAAGCAAAAAATTATGCTTCCTTATATTCTTTTATTGAATTTTCGATATTTTATTATAATTTCATTGACCAAATACAAAAAATGAAAACAATGGCTCATTTTATACCGTAGGAATATAAATATAGGAATATTTGTGAATGTTTTGTGTGCATTGCACCTGAATTGCCAAATTCGGACCACTTTAAGCCCATTTGACAAAACATCTTTTTTTTCACTTTTTTCTATTCACTTTTTTTGCAATGCATGTGACGAAGATTGACATGGAAGTTAATCATTTTATTTGAGAAAATTGGGCGAACCAGTTTTCTGATTGCTTTAAGAATAAAAATAAGAAGACATTTGTCATTTTGAATAGAAGACGAGTTCAATTAAACAAATCATTGGATGAAGTGATAAAAATTTCAAATCATTGGATAAAGTGATAAAAATTGCTTAGATATTGCTTTATTCATATTACAATTATGATAAATAAATACGCAAAAAATATTAAAAATTATTACTCCAATAAGATTTAATGAAAGAAAATTATAAATATTATTATAAAAATTATTATGAAGAAAATTTTTTAAATTAAATATATGGTAAGTTACATTGTTATGCACTCGAAAATCAAAATTAAAAACTGGAAAATAGAAATAATTAATAGCAATAATAATAATAATAAATAACAATAATGGTGCTAGTGACTTGTATTATTTCTGTCGCCACGTGACTCTCTGGCGAAAATTTTTAATGCATTCATTTGCACCATTAGAGCGAAATTAACCAGAAACGGTGAGCACTAACCATTTGTTTTTTCGACTTTGTTTAAAATATTCAAATCGAAAAAAAAAGATTCGAACGCTCACCAAATCGAATATCAAATAATCGGAAAAATCTTAACAAAATTGAAAAATAATCATAGAATAAAATTAAATGAAATTACTACAAAATTATCAAACAATTTTCATGCGAAAATTTTTTATAAATTAGCAATGAAAAACGCTAAAAAATGGGAAAAATTTCGATGGGAAAAAAAATGAAGAATTGAATTTCAATTTTCAACCATTATTTTATGTTTTTTTTTTCTTTTTTCCTCGAATTCGAATGAAATGCGAACGCGGACGTGAATATGAACGTGAGCGAGAATGTAAACGTGGATATAAATATGAACATAAACGTGAATACAAATATGAGCGTGAATGCGAACGTGAACGTGAATATGAACGTGGACATAAATATGGATGCCTACGTAATATCACTGATAATATCATAAATTCCCCGATGCGATGCTTATTTCTGCAAACACTTGGGCGGTTCAAAGAACATTCGTTGATTAAATGAATTACTTGTCAGACATCAATGTTCACCATCGTTTCGCATTCACAGTTGGATTTTGTTTCATTCCTATAAAACCGCTGTGTTCATCGTTAAATTTAATTCATTCGTTGGCTGAAAGCTACTTTATTTCACATAAATATATTCATGAAATTTCCCCGTTTCACCCCGTCCCCCTCTCCCCCTCTCACATTTGTCCACATTCCCTAACATCCTCTGCCATCTATGAACAATCGTTGTTTATTAGTCGAAAAAATTATTTGTATGAATAGCCGAAAATCGAACGAAATTCTTGAAAATAAAATCAGTTTATTTTATAAATTTTAGCCATTCCAAATTGCTAGTGATATCTATTCTCGTCTTATGAAGAATTTTTTTCTTTTTTATTCACATTTAATTTTGCTTAAAATTTCTGATGAAATTATGCCGTTGAAAAACCGATTTTTTATTTTCAGTTTCTAATAATTGATAATTGATTATTATTGATTATATGATAATTGATAACTGATAATAGCTGACTTTTCGATATTTTTAAATTTGAATGAAATATTAATCGATAGGTCAAAGAATCATTAAAGGTTAACGAAGTAAATTGGATGACCTCAAATTAATTGGCTATAAATATAAAGCGTGTGTGACTAGAAAAGGTTAAAACTGACAATTTATCATCGAAAATCGCTTGGTGACTGGTTCATCTTTGTGGAACCTTTTTTATAAATGATATCGTTTTTATTGACCATGCACCTTTTACTTGGAACCACTTACCATTTCTGGCTCGGCTGGTTTCAGTAGCTATTGCGAATAAAACCTCTTCAAAGAGATTCATTTAGAAGCGTAGGTGAGTCTGCAGTACCACTTGGACAATAGAGTAGAGTTATTAATAGAGTAGAGTTATTTAATAGCTATTTTAATTTGCTGTGGTCGATTTTTCTTTGGAATAAAAATTTAATTACCCGAATTACCCGAATTTTTAAAATTTGGCGATTGTTCATTTGTTTAATGAAAGCGAAAAACCTTGCATATTTATTGCTGGAATGGGCCTATTTCTTTTCAACTTTTAGAAACGGAAATGCAAAAAACTTTTTTATAATTCACATGGCAAAGTTCATGCACTTTAAATATTTCCAGCCGTGGAGGGGGGACATATGGCTGCATGGAACTTGGCAAAAATCGCAATCATCACAAACCAGTCGAATATAAATGTCTTTTAAAAATAGGCGAATAGGCGATGCAGCTCATTTTAATATTGTACTTTATGGTTTTTGTGGTAAATAAAGAGCAATGAACTTTCTGAACCGATAAAATTATGATTATTCCTGGTGATTTAGGAATTACAATGACATATAGACATATAAGAAAAGTTTTTCCTATATATAGTCAGACTATGTTAATTTATCAGTAGAATGATTTTGATTAAATTGTATTAACTAGTTGCTTATCATTTCTAACTTCATCACATTCTTATCATATATTTTTCTGTTTACCAGTGGTTCATATAAAATCAAAAATTTGTTAAACTTTAACAAAATTTTTTCCGCAAAAAAAACATTTGATATAAATGTAGTATCTCCATATATTTTTACATCGTATTCCTAGATTTAGTTGAATTTATTTATCTATTTGTTTAGGAAAAAAGAGATAAGATAACCCGGTGGATAGTAGTTTAGATTAGCATATTGAGAGGCAAAGGTTCAGCTCGTGCAGCCAAAAGGAGAGTAAACCCGTGATTAAAAATCCGAGTGGTGTTAGCGACCCATAAATGTTAGCGGCAAGCAAAGCCATAGCACGTGTTACTTGTCAATTAATTTATTATTTTGCTATTTTTGATTATTAATTCGTTTAATTTAGTGGAAAAAATATTCTTAGCGCAGATACTTGTAGATGGTGAACGATAAAAATCCAGAAATTACACACGTAATATTCGACCTCGACGGGCTATTAATTAATACTGAACCAGTATACACGGAAGTGAATTCTTATACAATGGCGATGTTCGGGAGGAAGTTTACTTTAGATTTAAAAGCTTTAACTATGGGAATGACAAATGAGGCAGCAATTTCATTAATGCTTGAAAAGGTAATTTTAAATTATTTTTAAAATATTGTCGCGATTACCGATTTTTATTATCTACATTGCTTACTCATTTTTATTTCGATGTGCATAAAATCACACTGCGCTTCCTTTGGCTAAAATTTTAAGAAAATTTAAGGAAACAAAAATTTTTGTTGGTCATTTCTGGTTTGGTTGACTCTAAAGACGAGTTTATTACGTAGCTTCACGTGGATTTCACTTCCAAATGGCACGTGTATTCCCGACAAAAAACGAGAATCGAACCGTAGAATAAAACCTAAATCGTGGTCGAAATCAGGGCAAAACGCTTATCGACCTTTAAAACATTTTTTAAATTCATAAAAAGCTTTTGTTTTTTTCTTGCAAAGTTGAAAAATCACAAAAAAATTCAGGTTGGTTTAAGCGGAAAAGTTAGCGTCGACGAATATAGAGCCATTTATAATCCTCTTCTACGATCAAAATTGCCATACTGTGAGAAGATGCCTGGGGCGATGCGTCTCGTTCGACATTTAGCGATAAATAATATCCCAATGGCTATATGTTCCGGCACCCGTAGTTATGAATTTAAGCTCAAAACAATGAACCACAGGGAATTGCTGGATTTGATTCCGTTACGGGTAATTTCAAATGTTAATAAATAATGACTCTACAATAATGACCCTAAATAAATCTTAAAGAATAAATAATTGATGTGCCAGAAAAAATTATTTTTATTAAATAAGAGTAAGGACCATCGAACAGCTTGAAGATTACCCCTTCTAGCCAGTGGAGCCAATCAGTAAATGTTTGAAAAAGAAGGATCATTGAAACTCAAAAAAAAATTTTTCGGGAATAGGTCACTTCTAAATCGTTCTATTTTCCATCACAATATCATAACGATATTTGGATTGGTTATCTTTTTTTACCTTTTTACCTTTTTCACCTTTTTTTCTAAAAAGATAAATTTACAAAACAAATGAAAGCCTAACTTCTTGATCATTAAAAATTATGGTTTTTTGGGAGAAAAATAGCAAAATTGTCTACAAATATCTATATCTACAAATGTAAAAATATTTAAATTATATTTTTCAGCAATAAATTTTATAAATTTTTTGGGTTATAATTCGATCAATTTAGGTTTGCGCAAGTGATGATCCATCAATTCACGAAGGAAAGCCCTCACCAGATGCATTTCTCGTCACGATGGAACGTTTTGAAATTCCTCCAGCTAGTCCATCGAATGTACTTGTTTTTGAAGATGCACCAAACGGTGTGATTGCAGCTGTTAGAGCAGGCATGCATGTGGTTATGGTTCCAGATTTCACCTATTCAAAACCGCCAGAAGCCGTTGAGGACCAAATTTCATTCGTATTAAAAAGCTTGGAGGATTTTGAACCTGAAACAATGGGTTTGCCAAGCTATAACAATGATAAGATTTCCCCATTCATCTCTTCATGGACTAACTGATTTTTTTTGCCAGATTCTTTACGTTGCATTTTTATAATGAATAATTTTGATACGCAGTGGTAATGGCCGATTTTCTAAACGACATGAATTTGCAAAAAATTTTAACAGAAAAAAATTTTCTACCTTAATTCGTCGTCATCCGATAATATTCGATGAAAGCAGTGATCCGGAAAATAACCTGGAATGAAGAAAAACCAATCGACGATCTATTGATTATCAGATTATTTGGTAGATTTGCTTATCAGACTGGAAAGCTCGATAAAAAGCCGAATGCAATCCTAGAGTAAGCCTGTAAAATAAATGAGGTCCGGATGGTGCTGGGACTTATTTCTTTCTTCAAATAACTCTACTAAAGTAATATCGTCAAGTGGTTTAAGTCAAATTAGGAATTGTGAATGGTGTTAAAAAGAAAATTATGCTAACCAACAAAATATCAACGACAGAAAATGCCTTGAAAATTCAAAAAAGAATCGGCGATTTTGATTAATTTATTTTTGAAATTCAAAAAATCTATTATTTTCTTGAAATTTTTATTACTGCATAAAAATGAGATGAATGTGGCCCTATGTATTTGCGATTTATCTCGCTCATGAAAATTTTTCCTGAATTTTACAATAGCTTTTCATGATTTGCCTTGGTCTTAGCGAAAAGGCCGAATGCAATTCTAGTTCGTTGCCTTTTTCAGCGTTTCCATTCAGGCAAGTAAAATTAGCAAAATAGCAAGTAATACTTAAAAATTATTCGATACTTTGGCCAAACCACTTATGGTAAATGTGCTCGAAGCGTTGCATTATTTTGCTGGGATTCGATATAAATTTAAAGACCATTGAACGCTCTTCCACGAATTGTTTTAGTTTCGTTTTATTCCTTTGGGAAAATTAGTTTAATTTAGAAAAAAGTTCGAATTCGAAAATGTTACTTCCATTAAACTATTAAAAATAAAGAGACAATTATCACTTACCATTTGCCTTTACCTGATTTCATGGAATTTGCTTTTACCTTACTTTTATGGAATATTTACTTATCACCACTGTCACCTTACTTATCACCACTGTCACCTTACTTATCACCACTGTCATATGTACTATATTATTTAATATTTTGCGCATTTATTATTATAATACAACGATCTTTCATTTATAAATTTTTTTACAATTTTTATTTGACTTTCTCTAATAAAATGATAATTGGTCAAGTAAATAATATAAGGAAACACCATGGAAAGAATTTTGAAACACGGAAATAAGCTTAAGTCTAAATCTATGGCCAAAATGAGCACTAATGAGTAACCATTTAGCCAAGTAGCCACAGGAGAAATGTGGTGTCGTTAAAATGATAACTACAATGGTGGTGTGTGAAAATCACGTTGGAGACCGTGTGATACCCTCATAGCTTTTGAGAACAAAACGCTTAATTCTTTAATAATTTATTTATTTTTATTATTTTATTTTATTGTTGGAGTCCAACGGTTGGAAATCATTGTGCCTACACGCATCAGTGTTCAGCATCGTAAAGTTTCATGCCATATTCTTGTTCATGTTTGAGTAAAATGTAAAGTTGTTTCCACGATTCTCATCGTAATACAATCATGTAAAATATATTTGTAAATAAATTGTGCCTTTTCCTAGGACATTCCAGGAAAAATTAGGAAAATGACGCCGAAAAATTGCCCTTCTGAAGTATATTTTTATTGTTTTCGTTATTTCTCTTATCGTAGGATGTCCGATGGATTATTTTGGCCACAAAATTTATAAATATTTTCAAAACCCTCCTTATTCGTTGACCAATTTTTGATTTTTCATTTTTCTAATTGACCAATTGATACCAATAATTAGGTCTCTTAGCTACGACTTCAATAGGACTGCCTGAAGGCAAATTCATCCGTTCACGAGTTGAATTCCTCTCTTTGGATCGTTCGATGTGGGTCATTCGCAAAAAAGCACTAATTCGCTTTTTTCGAATTATAATTTAAAATAAATAAATTGAGCTTTGATATGACAAATTTCAAATTTGATGATTAATTTGATGAAATTTAATGATTTGATGATTAAGTGATTAAGAAAATTCGATTCGAAAAATTTCTTGAAGAATTCCGCCATGAAGAGGAAATTCCACAAAAATTCCACTTCGGCTGTTTTACAAGAAAGTCTCTCTACATTTTTAATATTTAAAATAATTTTTAGAAGCCTTCGAAAATAAATTATTTAAAGAATTAAAATATAACGGCTGATTACATTTCACTAACTGATATAACTTACAAAATCTCAATTTATCACTGAAATGGAAAGAGAAAATATGACAAATGGTTTTTTTGAAAACCAATTCCAGTTTCGAAAAAAAATTTCAACTTTTTCGAAAAAATTTTAAAGTCAAAATCATTTTTTCTCGTTTTCAAGACAATGTCTTTTGATTTAAAAAAAATACCTTTGATGTGATAAATTGATAAATTGAAACAAATTGATAAATTTATAAAAATTTAATGAATATTTATCAGTTTATTTTATTTTATATCAATTTTAATTGGCATTGTTCAAAGCATTTCGCTTTTTTGATTTTTGAAATCTCTATTTTTTCCCGACAAAACAGTTGGGAAAATAAAATTGCAATATATTTCAATAAATTTTTTTGATAACTAAAATTTATCAGAACTTATTTTTTAGCAGTTTTTTCTATTTGTTACAAACTGTTATTTAGCATAATTTACATCAAATTTAGAAGGTCAGAACAATTTAGAACTTAAATTAAATCACTATCACCATTATCACCATTAGACGAACTAAATACTATTCACTGTAAATAAAAATATACTATTGTCAGTGGTACCTGAAAGGAGACTTTTACTTGTCATTTACTACATAGCATAATCAATCTCTGTACTGAGTGGTACTTATCAGATAAATGGGAACAACTGATAGATAATTGATAACTGATAGCGAAAGATATACATCGACCACAGAACAACCAAAATAATGCTTTTTGCAATTCGACAAGTGACATCCAACCGACGACATGAACGACTGAATTTCTATCATTCCCGAAAAGTTGTCTCAAAGTAAGCCAGCTGAAATCCGCGTTTTCCTCCGAGAAGTTCTATTTGTCGTCCTCAAGCTTTTACTACAAATTTCACAAAGAAATATTGTGCAATTTCATTTGTAGGATGTAGGTCAGAGGTTGTCGGTGATAGTCGGTGCCAGGGGACTTCGAAGTTATTTTTTTAAAGTTTTTATCGGTCACTTTTTGGCCACTTCTTCTCTTTTTACGTTACATTTCTAGTTGGTGTAATAAAAATAAAAATAAATAAAAAATAAAATAAATAAAATAAAATAAAAATAAATAAATAAAAATAAAAATAAAAATAAAAAATAAATAGTTTAGGTGACGTGACGTGTTTCGCCACGTAAGAAATTAGTTTCTTGATTTGTGAGATGCTTGTGTATTTTTTTCATTTCTCACATGGAAAGTAATATTTCTAATTGGGCTGATTCTGGTTCCTTACTGGCAGCGCTTATTGTCGTTTTTTCTCAAAACGGTGATCTGAATAACGATCCTCTGTTGCCGTGGTGAATGGAATTGAAGAAAAGACAAATTTAGGTCAATTTATTTGTACTAAATGTTTATTTCATTGTACTTGGAAAAGAAAAAAATACGGTGCTCACAGAGTTTAAGCTCGCGACAGTTGCGGTTAACTGGTTTTTGCAAGGGACAATAACTGCTCGGCTGTTGAGGTTTAAGGAATTTACTACATAAAATCAAGGATTGAATAGCGATTTCAGTTTATTGTAGTGTCTTAATAATTCTCGGCATTTAGTTTATTGTTAAGTCTTTGTGGTATTTTTGAATTTTCATGCGTTTAGTCCGTACTGGCAATTAGCATTTTATTATTTTATTTAATAATTATAAATATGTTTTTATCGATATTTATTCAATGATTTTTTCTTAATAAAGCTGCTAATTTAGATGGCGACAAATGGATCGTCGTGCGTAACGCATGTAATATTTGATTTGGATGGTTTATTGCTCGATACGGAACCGATTTATTTTAAAGTGAATGAAATAATTTTGGCACAATACGGCAAAAAATATACTTTGGAACTAAAAGTGAAGACTATGGGTATGCCAAAAAATAGAGCCATTGCCGAAGCAATTGAATATGTTAGATATATTTCTTTTTTTCACTCAGATTTGACAGAAAATTATCAAAAAATTGTTTTGCTTTTGACATATTTTGCAAGGAAATTATCGTTTTTTAATCATTTTCTTTCGAAATCAGTTATTTCGATTCATTTTTATTTTTGACGAATTTGTAATTTAAATTTCAAATTTTAATTTGATGAATTTTTATGCCAAAAGATGCATTCATTTTAGACTTTAGTTGTCCATTTTTAGGATTATATGAGTTTAATTAATAGCGATAGTAGTTTTAGGTTGGTCTTACTGGTCAAATTAGTATCGATGAATACTCGACTAAATATGAAGAAATATTACGAGATTTGTTGCCAGATAATAATTTACTACCAGGAGCGATGCGGATTGTCGAGTACTTTCACAAAAATAAGATTCCATTGGCGATTTGTACTGGTTCTTGTCAATATGAATATGATATGAAAATGCAAAAACACAAGGAACTTGATGCACTGATACCGTTTGCTGTGAGTTTTCAAAACATCAATTTCTACATCTACTCTCGTTTGAAATTAATTTAGTCAGCCAATTTCAGTTTCATTTTTTACTTCATTCAAATTTATTTTTTTCATTTCATTTTCAGTTTTTATTTAAATAATTATAAAGTTTTGATTTATAGAAATTTTTTGATTTGAAGGCTTTTTTATATCGGTCGGTTAATATAGCCCTTTCAGAATTCCATATTTTCTAAAATAATTCAGGTTTTAACCGGTGATGATCCTGAAGTGAAACATGGAAAGCCTGATCCTGATGGATTTTTAGTTACAATGAATCGCTTTAAAGAGAAGCCTTCATGCGCTGCAAACGTGCTTGTATTCGAGGATTCACCAAATGGTGTAATCGCTGCATGTAGAGCTGGTATGCAGGTTGTTATGGTGTCAGATTTCAGCTATTACGAACCTCCTGAAGAATGCAAGGATCGAATCGTTACGATGAATAGTTTAGAAGATTTCAAACCGGAACAGTTTGGTCTTCCTCCTTTCATATAAATACATATTTTTAGTTTTTTTATTTTTCTTGATCTCATTAATATGTATGTAAATTTTTAGTTGTTAATGCTATTAATATTATTGTAATTCAGGAATAGTTTTTTCTCTCTAATGCATTATTTCAGTAGATTCATTAATTATTAGTTATCATTAGTTATTTTATACTAGAAATTTGTTTTTTTATCGTTTTTTGTTTTGCGATTTAAAAAAAGCTATTTTTTCATTTGCTTTATCAGTTTGGTTTTATCCGTTCATTGTTGAATATAAATTTATGCTAGGCAATTTTCTTAATAAAACTTTTGCAAAAAACCATTCATTTGATGTGAAAATTGTTTTTCTTTTAATTTTCGGCAGATACTTAATATTTCTAAAATTTGAGAATTGCAAGCGTTGTTTAAGATTGTTTTTCCTCTAATATTTTGATTTATTTTAAGGTTAAATGAATGAAGATGACATGAAGCATTTGAATAAAGCATTTGCATTGGCACAAGAAGCAGGCGATGATAATGAAGTGCCGGTAGGTTGTGTGTTTGTTTGTGATGGTGTTGAACTGGCTTATGGAAGAAATTCGGTAAATCGAACGAAAAACCCTACTCGTCATGCTGAAATGGTTGCATTAGATGAATTGAAAGCATGGTGTTTATCGAACAGCAAAGATATCGCCGAAATTTTACCACATTGCACCTTATACGTAACGCTTGAACCGTGTATAATGTGTGCTTGTGCATTATATTATCTTCGAATTAAGCGTATTGTCTACGGCGCAGCAAACGAAAGATTTGGTGGTTTGTGCAGTGTTGCTGATCGTGAGAAATATGCATCAGATCATATTATACAAATAGATGGTAATGTTGATGCGGATAGAGCAATTGCAATGTTGAAGGGCTTCTACGACAAACAAAATCCATTTTGTCCAGAGGAAAAACGAAAAATCAAAAAACCAAAAATGGAGCCAAATACGACCAATACTTTTTAGTACCATTTTGTTTTCCCAATATTCCGCAAATTGTTGGTTCCTTCAGTCCCCTTTTAGCTCTGTCCGCAGGTGATTGGCAAAGAGACACCACCAGTAAGCAGCCAAACTAATATTAGTGAATGTAGTTATTATAAGGAATTATTATATACAATCATGAAAAGCCAATTATGAATTTATACCGTTTTTCCTTGATGTATTATTAAAATCCATTGCATTCCTCTAATAAACTGTCTAACTATTTTGATTCTATTAATCTTTGTAATTCTTTAAAAACTTCAAAGTTCTTTCTTTCCTTTTGTTCCATCCCTTTATATTCCTGTTACATTCCTTCTATTCCTTTCATTTCTGCGTCATATCGATAATTTTAACTTTCATAAATTTAAAATTTGTGTGGTTGTGGCAAAATTTCACTGGTGAGAAGTCATGAGCCAAGTTTGAAATATGAAAAAATAAGATGCGTATATAACTAGATTTGGTTGGGTTCAAACAGTTGAAAAAGCTTTGAAATGATATCTCTAATTATGGCAAATGATATGGCGGAATCTTCGAAGTGTAAGTTTCATAGGCAATAGACATAGAAATTTTTTGGAGCGAAAAAACAGGTATATTAGAAAATATTAGTAGGTTCCTACAAAAGAATAAAGTTTAACAGTATGTGATTAGCATATCATAGCAACGTCTCATCTGATAAGATAGTGAGTGTTAACATAGTTTAAGAAAATTTGAGAATTGTCAGCAAAAAAAGATAGGTCTGATGAGCTGCTGGAGAGGATTTAAGACGTTGCAGTGTTGCAGGTTCCAAGGAACTTGTTCATCAAACGATTTTAATGGTGTCCAAGAGGATAAGATCATGCAATGGATATTAGGGGAATATAAAAGGTTAGGGGAGAGTTCGCTAGGTTGTGGAGTATATTAAGGTCAGAATAGGAAAGTAGGATGTCAGTTATCCTCCAAAGGGGTCAGATTTGAAGTGAGAGGAGTGGGGTAAGATAAAATTTGTAGACTGGGACGTGGACAAGTGTAATAGGAAAGTGGTGGTGAGGAAGTGCTCCAGCTACGTATTGGAGACCGAAAACTGTGGAAAGAAATGATGCCATTATAATACAATGCAATATATACAATTTAGAGGATTCAGAGGATTCTGGAAGGTTTTCCATGAACCACAAAAATTTTAGGAAAATCGAGTGGTTTTTAAAACGATGGAATGACATTTTGAAGGCAGCACGACAGGGTTTTCAAGCAGTTTTCAAGCATTATTAGTTGAAATAAAACCACAGCGTACTAGGTTATCATTGCGGAAGTAGCGTAGATATGAGGAGCCGAACATATTATACAATAGCTTAAGGTGGTTGTACTATTCGCTTCTAAAGAAGAACGACGTCTGATATCATAGAGGGATTTCAGGAGTGGTGCAGGCTTTTGAGAAAACTATTGCTCTGAAGAATTTCTTAAGAGTACGGGAAAAGTACAAGAAATTGGCTTCGACGAAAGGTAAATTAATAAAAATATTACATAGGGGAAAAATGAAATATAAGTGGGGAAGCAGGGAAGATTTATGTTGGCGGGGAAAATAAGGAAAAATAATTTTTTTCAAGGCTCGAGCGTCGGGACCTCCTTGCTTTTGGCTTCAAATCTTATGCTTTGGCACGAATTTGCAAAATGGACGAGGGAAATGCGAGTCATCCGGATGGCTGCATTTGACGAGCCGAGGCTGCTAAATTATAAATCCTCAAAGCGCCCGACCGCAGTTGTGAAATCATTTCAATCTCAGTTGAACGGCCTTTGGTTTCCTTGGGGGTTACTATTATTTTCGTGAAGGGTTTTAATGTACTTTAAACTTTGGTGTGTTTTATTATTGATTTTTTCTGTGCCCTCGGGGCACATTTTAATTAATTTCTTGACACTCGTTCTTTAATTTTCGCTAATAACCGAATCCTATTTCGAGAATCGAAGATCGATATTTTGCTAATATTTTGAAAATTGTGCTTGTGAGATTAAATTGCGCTATGAACGCCCATCGTGCGACGCATCCTCCCTGCCAAACAACGATTTAAACTCGGAAGGATTCGCTTCGTTGGAAGAATTATTGTTGGAGGAAGTTGGAGGGAGTTGGAGGAACCTCGGGGGGTGTTTTTTCGATTTCACTGCATTGTGCATTTCAGCCATTCTCGCCGATGTGTTTTATTTTTTTTATTAAAACAGTTATTAGTGTAAATATTATATTTATTTGTCATTTATCGTTCAATACTAAATAAATTATTATAATTCTGAATTTTTTGTTGTTTAAATTTTACAAATTCGTAATTTAATGTAATTTAGTTAATTAGCGGTTATCACTTATCATTTGTGATTAATTTTGGCAACGGCATCAGCGATCGGGCTGAGATTTTTATTAGAGAGTTTTATCACCTACAAATTTAACAATTTCAGTTTGGATTTCTCTTTTAATTATCAAAGTATTTATGCGAGAAAAAGAGATAGGCAAAATTATACGATAAAAATATTTGTCGAAGCAGTCGAAGCTCTTAGCATATCGTCCATAATTTTGTACAAAAATATAAAGTAAAGCGTGCAGTGCAGTTAACAATAACGGTTACGCTAATTAATAAATTTTTGAAAGTCAATAGATGTCAGTTGGTGATAATAAATATTTGCGGGCCAAAATAGCATTTCAGCGAGCACTTGGAACTATGACCACTAAATTAGAAAAATTAGCTTCAGCAGATTCGAGGAACAGTATTGGACGCACGGCCCTCAGTTTCTCAGGTTTCTGGGTAGACGGTCCGAGGATGGTCGTCCGAGGAGAGAAGTGTTTCCATTATTCCTTTTCAAGGCTTCTTCAAATATTCTTAAGGCATCATCAAAATTTATTTTCCTCTTCTAGTTCTTTATTCTTTATATTTTGATGCGTCGTCAGCTAAGGCTCGTGTGTGATCGTCGCACAACAACTTCCTTTAAATGCCACGGCTTTATTGAGAATCATTATTTTTATTCAGAATCAATACCAGTATGATACATACCATTCAACTTGCCAAATGTCCCAAATGCATTTATTCAGTTTGCATAAAAGTTCCAGCTTAAGGAACCAATGAAATGCTGGAGGGTGGTTTCACGTAACTTTCTGAGAAAGTTGTCGAGAGGGAAGAAATGAGAGCTTATTGGCGAAAGGTCTGCGGAATATGGCGGATGAAGGGGAATGTCCGTATTCCGTAAGGGGAACGTCAGTTTCGCAAATTTTTGCAAAATCCTTCGACGAGCGCTGTACCGTTGTAATGCAAAATGATGGGGGTTTTTTTGTTGTTTCCTCCTGGACTTATTCCTCGTGGACTATTTCACTAAAAGACTCTAATCACTAAGATAGTGGTTCATCCCAGCAGCAGATAATCAAACAGTGAATGCAGTGTTCTTTGACAGAAGGTCGGGTTTTAAAGCAAATCGAGCTGGTGCATCTCGTGCAAGGCATTCTTTTTCGATTTCCTCAGGAATCGATCTCCATCAGTTGCTTTAAGGATCCATTTGTGGAACTCGAAGGTCCATTGACCGCAATGCGGTGCGGCATCTTCGAGATCAGTATCCCCGGATCTCAATTTCACCTTCACACTTTGTTTAGGAATACTTCCATTAAAATTTGCTTGTTACGTAGCTTCCATTGCTTCTCATGAAATACTATAGCAATATCCTTCTTCATTGCACATCAATATTGATCACCCAAAATGCCTAAAAAAAATCAGAATTTCTGCAATTTCTGCAATTAACGGAGACTGAAAGCGGAATGGCTTAGCCATTATAACTGAAGAAAAAATTATGAACCCACAAACCCAAAAAAATGAATTTTTCATCGGCCAAAGTTTTTAAAACTTTCCTTAAATAAAAAAGTTTATAAGAAATGTTTATCGGCTTTTTAAAATTCCATATTATGAATTATTAAAGATTTTTTCATTTTCCATTTTCATTTGATATTTCATTACTTCGTTTGTACTTTTGTTTACTTTGCTTTTCATTTTTAAATTCGAATTATTTTGGCAAAAATTAAAATTAATTTGTCGATCATTGCTAATCGAAATTTATATATTTTCTTGTATATTTCGGTTTTTTATAATTTTCATATTAATTTATTCGCGAATTTTCATTTCAGATTTTCAGATTTAAAGGGTTTATTTCGAAAGGCATGGAAAAGGAAATGGATGTATCAACGAAATCGTCTTTGCATTCACAGGAAAATGAAGAATGTGCCACAGACACGAAACGATTGAAAGTGCAAATCACCGAGGAGGATTTGGTTCGATTTATCAACTTTTATCAGTTTATCAGTTCCTATCGGTTTTTTTAGCCTTTTAAAATTGATTAAAATTGATATAAGAAAGATATGTTTTACTTTGCTTTTTTTTGGCATATTTTATGGAATTTTAATGAACGAATGTGGCCATAATTGAAAATCTGTTTATTTTTTTGCTTTGCTCCAGCTCTGATTCTCTCAAATTGTCGTGGTGATCCCTCAGTGGTAATCGTTATAATAATTTGTTTAATTTGACGGTTATGAGTTAGTCGAGTGATATTTCGCGAGCTTAAACCAAGCAGAAAGCATCTCTTTTTTGACTTAGTAGACCTGGCTTGCTATTGGCGATCGTCCTATGCGTTTGCTCCTCTTCTGCCGCAAACTACACTCTATTTGTCTCTTCAGTTTAGGCTCTCACATATTAGATAATTCGTCTTTGTTATTCTCTTTTCGTTCTTTTCATTATCACTGTTGGCAGACGTTTTGCATTGTTATTAGTTAGTTTTGCTTCATCCATCTTCCATTTATAATCTTTTATTTTTTTTATCATTTTCAATGATTTTTTTATTTTATCACTAATGAAAGAAGTGTTTGTGGGTTGGATAAGCGAAAAGCACCAACTTTTGCCGAGCTTTCATTATTTCGAAATAAATTAATGTAATGGGGTCATAATTGTTCATTGAAAAACCAACCAAGTAGGGCGGAAAACCATGTGCTTATTTTAATAAAAAAAGTTAAAATTACAAATAATGAAAATTAAAGGCAAAAAAAGAAAATATGACAAAAATTAATAAATTAAAGGAAGCAATAAAGAGGAGTTACACAATTTGAAGTGAATGATAATAAGAAAGAATGAATTTTGCCTGGAAAGAATATAAATTAAATTATTCATTAAGAAATATAATTTTATAGCATATAGAAGAAGGCAAACCATATTGTAAACTTTTACAAAAAGTTACGAAAAGTTACATTTGTATTTTAATATTATTAAATTTACATTATTGTACATTTACATTATTATTATACAATATACATTTTTTAAATCAAATAGGAAATTATTTCTAACAATTCTAATAATTTTAATAATTGTTCATGTAAATTCCTATAATATTTATTTTATTTTAATTTGAATATATTGAATTTTTAGATTTTTATATGTATTGTTTACATGACGAAAGAAAGAAAGAAAATTTAATTGTGAGAAAATTTTTATCAGTAAATTGCAGCTTTGTGTAAATGGTTGTGGATTTTACGGTACTCCACAATGGAAAGGTCGATGTTCGAAGTGTTGGCGTGCATATCAAATCGCACAAAAAAAGTCCGAAGATTTCACAAAGAATCGGTTCGTTTTTTTTTTTAATCATAATTTTTCATAAATTTATTTTATAAATTTTACGAAAGAATCTAATAAGTTTTTTAATGAAATCCATTCTCTTTTTTGGATTGTTTTCGAAAAGATTTTTGAAAAGTTTCATATAGAATTTTCTTAATCTTATCTCGCATTTCTTTTCTTTTTTTTTCAACCTATATTTTCAAGAGAAATTAGGAATTCGTTCATTATGTTTTGAATTCTTTTTTAGTATTTTCATTCTTTCCATTCTTTTGGATTACTATTTGTAATTGCTAAATAATGTTAAGAAAATTATGAAAAGTTGCATAAATGCGACCGACTTCGAGATTAAATAAAAAATTTTTAACATGTACGCATTTATATCAGTGACATTAATCTATTATTAATAAAGCAATAGAATCTATTAATTTATAATTTCAACTGAGGACCGATGTGACTTGGAGAAAAATTATTGAAAATTATTGAAATTATTGTCATATTTGACAAAAATTTAGGAATTTCAGTGAGTTGTTAAACTTCGAGAAATTTGAAGAACGTCGAAAGTTGTCCACAGAGAGTCGTTCTTTGACTCTGAAAAATATCTTACGAAGATCTTCAATACCAAATGGTTCAGATTTTCAAGCCTTTAATTCTTTTTTTTCGTCCGTAATCTTTTGAAAATAAAGCAGCAGTTTGTTAATATTTTATGATTCGAATAGATATTAATGGATTAATGGTTTTTGGAAATATTAAAAAAAGGCAACTAATATAGTTTTAAAAATTAAATCTTGAGTGTTTTGATGAATATATTCTATTAAAGCGCTAATGGGTTTAGAATCGATGCAAGCAGAACATTGTCAGCAGTCTACTCCTCCTTTCACACAAGTGTCCTCTTCCAGGTACGTCTTCTTATGGCACCTGCATGCATCTATTTTCTTTTAATTCTTAGCGAGAATTATTTGTCAGATCCATATCACTAGCTTTAGTTACCTTGCACATATTATTTATATTAAGTAGAATTTACTTGTATGATGAATGATTGGAGGGGTATTTATTGAATATTGGAAAATTCTGAATATTTTAATATTGAAATAAATATTTAAAATGTGGATTTTTTTGTAAATTATTGGAAAATAATGATTTTGCAGATAAATTAGAATATTTTATATTTAGGGTTTTAAATGGGATTAGTTGTAGTTATGGATAAATTCTATTTAATTTATAGAAAACGTCACTTAAGTGAAGAAAGTCGGTTGGCTCGTGATGAGTTTTATAACTATCTCAACCACAATTTACCACCCCCAATCGCTTATGAAATATTACGAAACACTCGACATGCTGTTGCGAAAATCGCTGAGGTTAATTTTAATTATTTGCTGTTCTAGAATTTCGCACTTCAATTTTCTAACAATTAATTAATCAATTTAGCAACAGCACTTAAGCATGGATGATCTCTCATCGTTGGTTCTCCATTTTTATCAAGTAATGACGGAAAAATTGCAATATAGTCGATATTTCAAAGGTATACTTCATTTTTAAATGCTATTATTATTTTATTATTATTATTTTAAATTTGTCATCATCACTTTTTATCGTCACTTATAATTATTTAGATGCAAATGTTTCGGTTGAAGAGATTGTGGAAAAGATCGAACATTATATTTGTGTTCGTTGCTATGTTATTCTCTTTTGTGCTGTGTTAGTTTTTTCCCATTTTAAATAAAATTTTAATTTTTGTATAGATTTTTATAAAAATTTCCATTGTTTTTTTACGAATTTCCTTCATTGTTTACTCTTAGAAATAATCTGCATTTCGAAACAGTTTTCTATTCCTTTTCGCGAAATTTTCTTTTCATTTTTTTTTGTAAGGTTAGATTTAATCAAATAAATTTTATTTACAGTGCTGATGAAGAAGTGGCCGATCTTTCTCTGCAAGATCGTATTCGATCTCTCAATTGGGTTACATCTGGTTTTCTTGAAACCAACCTTGATTTTAGTCAACAATCTGTATGAGTTTTTTTTTTTTTCGTTTTTGATCAGTGGCAAATGTGATTCAGTAAAGGGAATTCGACTAACAAGCAGAAAAGGAACAGGCAATTTAGCACCAGATTCATCGAAACATGGATCTACCACATTAGATTAGAATTCAAGATGCCTGAACCAGAACCAGAACAAGAACCAGAAATTACCACTAGTGATAAATACAGCAGTGTCAAGGAGAAATATGAGAAGTGAGAAGCTAGGTAGATAATTGGAGATGTGGGAAATGAAGAGGTAAAAAGGTCGTCTTACTGGTGATGAAAGAACAGTGGCTCCAACAGATTTCAGGGACAAAATCGGATATTTGTGTCAAGAACCCCCAAGCTTCTGGTGGAGGGTTCGAGGTTGACCATGACTCATACTACAGAGTATGTGAAAAAAGTATGAAATTTTTTTCATATTTTATATTTTATAGGTGCAAGAAAAATTGGATGAAGCAATAACGGAGATGATTGATATAAACAGCCATCGCGGTGCAGGTGAAAAATTGAATTGCTTAGTGCGATGTTCAAAGCTAATATTTGAAGCATTAAAGGAGAGCCGGTCAGGTTGAGATTTTTATATATGTATATATATATATATATATATTACGATTCTTCAGTTTTTTATAAAGTATTGAACTGAATTTCTTTTAAAGAAATATTTTCAGTTTAATTAGCCACTTTCCTTATGAGCAGAATTTGCTTTTTTTTTCATAAAATATTTTTATTTGTGAAAAATTCATGATCGATTTTCACCCAAGATTTTTTTGATTTTTATGTGTCTCACAATTACTGGTTAGGCTGGCTCTAACGGCTATAAGGGTAAGGCGCTTCCAAGCAGCGCGGTCTGATGCCATTGTTGACGATAATAGAAGCTATTCCTTTTTCCATCGTCTAAGTCCATATATTGCTGGTCCACCTATACGTTCAAAATCTTTCCTGGCCGTATCAGTCCAGATCTTGATTGGTCCACCTCGCTTTTGACGGAGATCTGCTCTGGACTGATTTGGAAGCCCCTTGCCGACAAGAGGTTACCCAGTCTATCGCATAGTTGAATATTGTAGGAGAAAGGGCACAACCTTGACGGACATCAATTCTTATTTCGAAGGAGTTCCCCATATACAGATCTGCGCCGACGTACGCTCATAAAATGCCTTTATGAGTCGAATGATCTCTGGATTTTTATGTATATGTATATTAAGGTATATTTCATATTGTAAATATTTTTGCAGGAGCACCAGCTAGTGCTGATGAATATCTTCCTGTTCTTATATATGTTCTACTTAAAGGAAATCCTCCACTGATTCAGTCGAATGTAAAGTTTATTAGTCGCTTTGCTTTACCTTCACGGATTATGAGCGGTGAATCAGGTGAATTAATTAGATTTTTTCAATAAACTTGATTAAAAATTAGCTTAGGTTTATTTTATCTCTTTTCAACTTTTACAAATATTTTTTTAGGATATTATTTTACAAATCTCAGTTGTGCCCTACAATTTATTCAAAATATGAATGCTGATAGTTTGAAAATGCCTCAAAAAGAATTCGAAGCTTATACGTGCGGTCAGCAAGTGCCCCCGTTAAGTTCTTTAAATATGGGTTGCAACCAGGTGAATGATTTGAATAAATAAAATAGTAATGATTAAAATAAAGCGATAGAAATAAAGCGACGATAAAATAGAAAGTAAAATAAGCAGTCTAGTCAAAGATTCAAAGAAAATCGAACTTAATCAAATTAATAAATGTCTAAAAATTGTACTTTCAGTCGATACGTTTAATGGAAAATATATTATACCAAATGCGTGAATTAAAAGTTCGTCAGAAAGAATTGTCTTTACGCATTAGTGAATTTGATCAACGAATTCAGAGGTTTTTTTCATATTTTTTTCATAATTTTTTCTGAAGCCCAAACAAATTTTTGTATTTCAAAATGATAAATTATAAATAATAATATTTTATTTAAAATGATTAGTCAGTTATCATTTTTAGTAGGTAATTTATGGTGTAATTCTTATAGAGAGAGTGACAAATTTTTACGAGAAATTCACGATTGTTGTGATGAATATCCTTCGGCTGAGCTTCAGTCACTTTCTAAACAAATAGCAGCTGAGGAATCACAGATGTCAACTTCTTGCTCTTTAATTTCTTTATCAGTAAACAGTTCACGGACGACATCCCGAGATCAGGATCTTGAAGAAGGATGTTCAAACTCACTGGATGACGATTTAAGTATGTCATGCCAATTATATTTATTAAAATCGAATTCGAAATAATCCTTTAACCCTTTATCGATGTTTTTTATTCTTATTATCGATTTCCAGCTTCAGTGGAAATGGTGCAGAAATTATAATTGGGAATAGTGAAATACTGGTTTGCTTTTGCTATAAAATAATTTCTTTGAGATCTGTGATACCTTTTTCTCTTTTGTGTGATATTTTAAAAATATTCACCTAATATGTTCATAAATCGAGCATTTTTTCCTCAGCGCTCGTCTTGAATTTCTTGAATTCCTCGGACTGAAGCTGAATTGTGTTGAACTTACGGCATAAGCTATATTACATCACTGAAACATTACTTTGTAATTTAAATTGCTTTCCATATAACAGGAAAAGTTCTGTAAATAAAAAAAGTCCTTAGGCAATAATTTTAGATATTTATGTATATATGTACAATACATTTCACAAGGTTTGAGTAAAGGCTTGTTTTGCCAGTTTGCTTTCAGCTTTCTTCATCCATATTGCTATTTTTTTAAATTCTTATTTAATACTTTCGTAATTTCCATTATAAGTTAATGGGATGTCTAGTGAAATTTCTGTTGTAAAAATATAGTATAGGCATAATATCACTCTTTTTGTACGATATTCAGTTCTTTTTTTGGTAGGATATATTGATTTTTTCTTTTTTATTTTGCCATCGTCGGTTGTTATTATTTTTTGTGTATATTCAGAAAATAATTTTGAAAAATGCTCATAAAAATTTTTGAAAGGTCAAGCGATGGTCATTCCTTCATCAGCAATTCCCGCAGATATTTGTGAATCAAATAGATTCCATTATCATTAAATTCAGTTATCGCATATAAAAATTGGTTTTCAATACCATACAGGTTTTTCTTTTCAGTACTAGAATAATCCCTTTTTGATTCCCGACAAGAGATAGGAATCGCATCCGTACTACTCTTAAAAGTTGATGCCTTCAGCTAGAAAATAGCATAATAAATGAGCAATGAGCAGGCAATTCGTACCAATGAACAATTATGGAAACGCTTTTCTATGCAAAAGAAATTTTAATGTCATTATTTAGAAAAGAAGTAAGCTTATGGACTAAATCAGAATAAAGCTCAAAAACCATCAAAATCATCGTTTTCTCAAAAGATAAATTAAATTGTATATAAGTTGAGGAAATGATATAAAGATTCTAGTAATTTCCTTAACACGCTTTAAATTTCATTTTATCAAGCGACCCAAAAAAGCTCTCTAAATTAAAAACCGACAAATAATTCGTACAACTTTATAAACATTTTTATACAAAAAAGAATAAATAACAATATCTTTAATAATCTTCATATAAAATTAATTGAAATATGTACAAATTATCAACTAGATGATTTGGTATTAAGCTTTACTGCACCTATTCGTTTTGTAGTGCGCCTTGCTAGCATTTCCTTCCTTCTTGCTTCGTTACGTGCTTGTTGTTCAGCTCGACGAATCTGCTTTGACGAATCAACTAAAATTTATAACACTAACGGTAAAATCATTTTGATGACTTGTTAAGAAATCAAAATTTTTTCACCGACTTTTATGCGGTAGAATAAAATATATGCAATAGTCGAAGTTATATTAGAACTGACATATAAACGTATAGTAAGACGAATATAAGATAGATGGATGTTAAATGGTAATTTTAAAGTATCAAATAAATGGTCTCACCATTTTTTGCTTCTCCGCCCCAACTGAAATCATCCCAACCTTCTGAAGATTTTTCTATACCACCTGGAACAGAGTATTTAGAAAATTCAATATCTCAATATAGTTCATATATGGTTCATAATAATATGATTGATATTTTTTTACAAGGTATTTTTGCTTGTTATCATTTCAAGCGTCGTGATCGCTGCCTCCGGCAGATGTATGGCATCGTACTAGCCATTAAATACCAAGTAAAATAATTAAAACTAATGATTCCTGGTTAAGCTAAGTAGTGGATGTGGGTAACACGGTTAAAATTTTAGCCTGGATAATTTGGTGACAAGTGAATCGCTAGCAATACTCGGGCTTTTAATAATAGGTTTACTCCCCTTAAGGTCTGAACCATTGTCTCTTAACAATCCGATAATCTGAGTCTAATTGGCTATCCTGTAACTACTAAAAAGCTATGGCCAGTGAAGCTATGATTAACATTGAAAAAATATGGAATAAAAAATTCTTCCACTTTACCTTCATCTTCATATAAATTCGACCATGAATCGTCATCCCAACCATTTTTTACAGAATCTTTTATTTTGCTCGTATGTTTTGCCAAGTTTTGAGTTGTCATTGTTGTCTTTTTACCATCTAACAAAGCGTCGATATCTTCTTCTTCTTCTAAAATACGGTTATGCATTTCTGGAAATAATTCAGATAATTTTTTTAAAGTTTTTACTTCTGGTCTCAAATGGCGCTTTCATTTGTAATTTCATAGTCCCAATGGCAGCATTTCTATCTGTTTTCGTCGAATGCAATTTTTTATTTATAGTTGGTGAATTTATCTGGAAAGATTCGTGAAATAATGCAAAATCTATTGAAAAAAATAGGAATTCAAAAGCCGAAAAATTTCAATGCTTGTAGAATAAAACCGCATTTGGATCATTGAATATCCAAATACCTTTTCCCAGCATGTGCTCCAGTCATCATCATCATTCATATTCTTTCCTTCGTTAGCGTCCTCCCAATTTTCGTTGCCACTCTGTTCATCTTCCAAATCACCCCAACCGCCAGTGTTACTAGAAGAAATATTTTGTTCCGTTTTCGCCACTGAAAGACTTTCAGTATCTGGTTTTCCTTTTGAAATGTTATCGCTTTCAACAACTTTCATAGCTGCGGATTGTGAAGAGGTTTTTTTATAAAATTTGTCAGAAAGCGATTTTAGAGCCCAACTTGCCCATTGCGGAACCTGCAAACCATTTTATTTTATTTCAATCATTTTATTAGAAAAATTAATTAAATAAAAAATAAAAAGCGAGTTACCTTGTCACTACTTAATATGGAACCGACACCACCTGCTTTAACTTGAGCTTCCAGTTCAGCAATTGATTCTGGATTCTCACTCGCTTTCTCCAGTTTATCAATAAATCCATGTAAAGCTTTGAAGGCTTGATCACGTACCTAAGAAAAATGAAACGGATTTTATGAAAAAATAACAATGGGCATAAATCTTCAGAAAAAATTTCACCAAATTCTTAATTTTTTTGTTTTTATTTTTTTATCTGAAAAAATTAATGTTAAGAATAGAAGATTCTAATTATAAAGAAGAAATAATAATATAATATAAACTTATAAAAGCAAGATACCTGCTTTTCAGGATCACAAGTTAAAGGAGCCAAGGCAGGAACAATTTTATTTGCTACTTCTATTAAGGAATAAAATTGCTGTGTTGCACTAAATGCAAGAACTGCAGCCATACGAGATGGAGGAAATGGATCTTTCATCGCTCTCGTAAAGGCACTTATCAGTATGCGTTGCCGTTGCGAAGGATCAATATAACAGCTTATTTTACTCAGACATATTGTCGTATTTGTTCGAATTCCTGCTTCAACATCACTCCCTTGAAATTTTTAATATCACAAAAATAAAAAGAATGATGGGAAAAAAGGTGGGAAAAAATAGTTAGAAAATCCTACCTTGCAAACGAGCTAAATGTCTCATCAATTCCGTATTTAAATTGTGATAATTTAATTTATCTGCTATAGAAACCATAGCTTTAACAGTATTTTCGCGAACTACTGGATTAGTGTCCATGAAACCTGATGCAAGATTCCTGAAAATTACTTTGCAATATATTTTAAAAACAAACAAATCACACAAAAGAAATGAATAAGCCACCAACCCAAATATTCTTTCATTTACAACTTCCGTTTTCAAATGGGAAGCAAATTCATCAATTTTCTCAAGTAGTTTGACACGAGTTGCTCGATCTGGTGAACTGAATAATTTACATAGGCAGGGAACTATACGGCGCTGATATTCATCTTCATCCAAAAGACGACCAAGTCTGAATAAAGGAACAAGTATATGCGAACCTGCATCACCATATTCATAATTCTAAAAAACATATAATAAAAAATAAAAATTGTGAAAATAAATTTACAAAATCCCATAGAAAAGAGGATAAAATGAAGAGACATATGAAATATTTTTTGTTGAAAAAATTTATAAAATTTAATTGCAAATAATAAGAAAAAAATGAACGAAAAAATAACAATGCGAAAAAAGGATTATTAGTTATTCCCTTTAAAAAATTTCAGCAAAAAATGTACATAAATTAATTTCGGCAGGATTTTGTATTTGGAAACATCGGAAGGAAACAAATCGAGTTCATTTTGCAGCTTTGAAAAAAAATTCTGTTTATCATGTGCATCTTTCAATTGGAATTCATCCAAAAATAACAGTGTATCCACAAAAGCATTTTTAAGAAATCCATTTCCTCTACGGTTATCTAAAAGAATTTTTAATTATATAATATATAATATAATATAATATAGTAATTGATGATTAAGAAATTTAGCTAATTGTAAAAAACCCACCAACTATAAGATCTTCAACGATTAATCGAGCTGCATGAGATGAGGCCATTTTTTTGTAAAGATCATGCAATTTTTTTGGCATTTTACCAGGAGATTGTGGTTTCATTACAGGATTTGAAAAACCATTGAAAACTTCCCACATTATAAGCGCCAAACTGTTCAAATCTTTCTGAGGATTACTAAAATGCAAATAAGGTAAAAAATGATGATAAAAATCATGATTCTGAATTCATCAAAACAATGTTATAAAAACCTAAATGGCACAGCATAATCAAATCCACTTATTTTCCAGTCGCCTGATTTGGTTACATAAACGGAATAACGTAGATTTTCATGACTTAACTTGGCTTCATTGTGAAGGAATTTCAAGCAATTCTACAACTGATAGATATAATTCATTGCTGGAAAAAAATATAGATTTGAAAGCTTTTAAAAATTTTTCAAGAAAAATTCGAAAAAAATGTCAAAAAATTTGATATCAAAGATAATGGATTTAAAAAAAAAATCCGGAAAATCTAAAAAATACGATTATAATGCAATATAATGCAACGTAACCATCAACTGGAACAATCCCCATGAAGATACGTATTCTTTCTGTGATCCCTTGAATGAAGTTTGCTCTATATAAAGACTAAGAGGCACACACGATTCAGTAATCAAGTAAAAATTATTTTCAATCTGAAAGATGGAAAAAAGAACGAAATATTTTATCGTTCTATAGCTTATATCATTATCATTATATAGCTATATATAGGTATAAAAAGTTTATTTATAAGTTTATAAGTTTATTTTCATATCTCTCAGTATAATGATATCCTAAATACAAGTTTTTTTTTTAGATGGATTAAAATATATGGCATATAAATATAAGACATTTCTATTTTAAGAGCAAAAATAAATTTAAAGTTTTAAGAGCAAAAATAAATAAAAAAAATTTTTTACTTCTAAACTATCCAAAAATAATAAAACATTGGGATGTCGTAAAGTTTTCAATTTCTGAGCTTGAATTTTCAAAGAAGAAACTGCAGGTGGTTGGTTTTGCGACCAGAAACATGTACATATTTCCGTTGGTTCAGACTAAAATAAAGTTGCATAAATCAAAAAATAATAAAATTGTTGTTGATTTTAATTGACTTTCAGAAATTGAAAATTGAATTGAAAGAGTGAAAAAGAACACTTTTTTGAAAGAATTGCCCATTGAGCAGCCATCTTTTTGAAAAAACGTTTCGGTTGGCAATTCGTAAGGAAAATTTGCCTTTGGATCACGCGAAAAAAATGATGAAAGAACAGAAGCCATCAAAATCTGAAAAAATAAAAAAATTCCTTTTGAATAATTTTCAATAATTGAGAAGAAAAAAGAATTTATTTGAAAAGAATTTTCTAAAAATTAGAACGAAAAGCGAGAAACACAACCGTTCACTAAAAATATGCTAAGCTGGTTGGCTGAGAAATTCACTTGGGAGGAAAATACAAATGGGTTCCAAGCACATCACTGGATTTCGCCCACTGACAGGGTTTGCTCCTTTCGAGGTATGAAAACCCATAATGAGTGATTTCACCGAAAATATTCATCCATCTTGCTCCAAAACAATTTAAAACCATATGTCTCATATTTTGTCTATCGCGTTTTCTATCGTTTAATCTCTTTAATGAATCTTTTTTTATCAAATTTTTTATTTTCATTTCATCTTTTCTAGCTCAAAGGAAGAAGGTAAGGACACCATTAACATAATTCCTATTTATCTTCGAACTACACTCACTTTATTTTAATCAATCGGCTGTTACAATAAAACTGGAACCTCTTCACAAGAAATTCGAAGAAAAGGCTCATCTACCCGACTGATGCTGGCCACTCTCCTATACCGTTAAAGAACTCCATCGCGCGTCTGCCTATGCGACAAGCCAGCGCAGCGAGTCTAATCGGCAATGGTGAGTGATTCTCTTAAAAAAGGTTCGTTTGCAATAACCCCCGAATTTTCAATGTTGGAAATTTCAGATACTTTCCCATTTTTTAATTTCCATTTCTACATTCTTTCCGAATGAAATACAAATAATAATAAACAATTTATCAAAAAGCAATCACCAACACCAAAAAAATCAAATTTCCACTAAACTATTAAAAAATGCCATAAATAACCAACAAAATATCTAAACAGATTGGCAAAAAATCAAATACCGAAAACATAAAATCGTTTTAAGAATTATTAAAATTTTCAAAATGTATTTACAACTACGGACGCCACGAATTATGGAACAAAATTTAGATTTCAGTGCGTCAAACGTCAAACAACCCAAAATCAAATTCGACGAAATCGATTTGTATTCCATCGCTGTTATACGTATTTGGCAAAAACTGATAATCACAAGATAATTCATGCGAAATTTATGATTCGTTTTAAAAAGATATTTATTGATCACTAAAGCAAATACAAAATATCAGAATTGCAAAAATTGAGGAACAATTAAAGAATAATTTGACGAGACTAGAAATTTAAAATTAACTATCAATGAATTTCATTAGGTGAAACACCTTAAAATACCTTTTCCCTCTGCTGCCACTTTTATTATTCTTCTAATTTTTTCCTATTTTCTGGCTGAGTTCCATAATGCATCGTAGCGCGATAAAAGATTTGCGCCGAGCAATCGAGTGGTACAGAAAGATTTCTAAGCACTATACGAACTAATCTGTCCAGTAACCATTCACAATATGTTATACAACTTAATAGATTTTACCATATAAATAAATATTAAAAAGGACCAAAAATGTACAGTTGAAAAATAAAACAAAAACAATTGGTAATAATTAATAGCAATACTCGTATGAGTGGAAAAATTTCGATTTCATATTCGAAAGAATAATAATATTTATAAAAATCGAATTTTTTCAGTTTCAATAAAACATTTTTGAAGGGAGAAAAGTGCGAAGTTCCTTTCAGGAAAAATCAGAAATTTATCAATATGATATGAAATATAAATAATGTAAAAATTACTTATGTTATAAAATAGCACACTTCTACAAATTTATTTTTGTAAATTAAAATTAGAATGAAAAAATTCTCTATCATGCACGACTCACAAAATCAAAAGAACTATTACAACGAGATTCATGGCAATCACTTAATTCATCCATACTCGTTCGCCTAGAAATTTCATGAATAAAATTGCAAATCGAACATTAAATCGAATATTAAAAAAGAATGTGTACCAACTAACTTGTTAATGTCAAAACTCCATATTTAATGAAAAAAAAAATTTTTCCAACTTCGGTAATTAACTAGAAATTAATAATAAAGTTAATAAATTAATAATAAATAATAATAAAGTATATATAAGTTATGAAGAAAATGCGCGGTTATACTTTCAGTGAAAATGAAAACTAAAATAAAAGTAATTGTTTTCACCATTGAAAAAATAATTTGTATCACAGAAGTTCAGGTTATTTTCATTTGAACTTAACTCGACCTAAATTTTTATTTTAGCAAAATGATATATTAACCTTGAAAAGAAATATTCGAATTCACTTTCTTGTAACAAATTTTTTCGAGCCTCCTTTTGTGCAGTGACTTTAACAGCAACTTCCATTAACTTTTCATATTCTTCATCGATGATGCCAGAGCTCTGAAAATCCAAATAATTGAAATAAACCTAATAATATCGAAAAAACAACCAAGACACATTATGGAAATTGAAACGTGCCTGAATCCAAGGATATTCCAGAATCTGCGAGGCAGAATATCGCTCCTCAACATCTAATTGCAATAAACCTTGAATTAAGCCTTTTGCTGAATATGATATATTATTCCAAACTGGAGATGGAAAATTAAATTGACCACTAAGAATCTGCTCGAACAACTGCTCTTGATTCCCATCAACACTTCAATATGATATAAGACATTATCAAAAAAATATACAAATAAAAGTAATAATTGAAAATTTAAATTTAGATGAATTTAGATGATCTTTTAAACAACTTTCATAAAACCTTTGGAACGGTGGAAATCCGCAAAGCAAAACGTAAAGTATAACGCCAGCTGCCCATAAATCGACTTTATGATCATAACCTAATTCAGCAAGTACCTTAAAGAAGTTCTATTTCACAACCAATGAAAAAATGAAACCAATATTTAAAAAAGTTATAAGTTTATTTTTTATTAGAAACAACCATGATCTCAAAAACTAGAAAAAGGTGGTGATAGGTGAATTAGCGAAATTCATTAATTCAGAATAATGAAAATAAATGAAATCAAAAATAATGGATGCAGAAAAGTTTTAACCTCAGGCGCGACATAAGTGGGAGTGCCGCAAATCACTAGTAATGGATCACCAGTTAATTCCACTGCTAAACCGAAATCAGCTAACTTTAGTAAAAGATTACCAGTACTTGAACAATTATAGACCTATAAATAAAAAAACAATGTTCAAAAAATTGCCAAAATAACATCTCAAATAAGATTAAAAATTTATACAATTCATTAATGAAAAAAAAAAACCAAACCAATAAATTCTCTGGCTTTACATCACGGTGGGCAATATGGATTGAGTGTAAATAATCTAATGCCGAAGCTAGACATTTCAAAAGACTCGCAGCAGTACGTTCTTCAACACGCCGAGCATGACACAAATACTCGAATAAATCACCACCCTACAATTAAAAATATTTTTAAAAAAATAATTAATAATAGGTTAATCTTAAAATTTTTTTTTTACATGATGAATCAATTTCCCTAATATTAATCCATCTGGTTTAAAGATCTCAAAAAAGAACCTATAAAAGAATAAGAATAAAATTTCCGAGTTAAATGAGTATAAAGCATTCTAACATAATATAAAAATGTTCCAATTTTAACAGTCAATTTATTTTTTATATCAAAATTTTTAATTAATTTTAAATTAATTTTTTAGTTATTACTTCCAGAAAAATAAATAGCATTTGAAAAATTTAAAAATAAACCGTAATCAATTCCAAAGAAAGGTAGTAAGAACCATCAAATTGCCAGTAATCAAACATACGAACAATAAATTCGTGCGATATTCTCTGCATTATAGACAGTTCAGATTTTATTAGATCTTCCTTGCCGATAGCATTTTCTCGACTAATAATTTTGAGCGCCAGACGAGAACGACTTTTTCTGAATGATTTTATAATAAAAAATTGATTTCCATCATAAAAAATTGACGGTGAAAAAATCATAAATCTTGCAAGAAGTATTTAATTAATGAAAAAACCAACTTGCACAAAACTTCATAGACTAAAGCTGTATTTCCATCACCTATCAATCGCACAATGTGTAATAAATTATCAAGCACCAATGGCAAATGACGACCTAAGTGTAAATAATTTACTTTCAGTTTTTCAAAGTCTGTCTATCTTTTACTTGGCAAAATAGAAGAAAAAAATTTAAAAAATAACAATGGCTAAAAAATTCATTTACTCATTTCAGAATCAGGAACTATGCATCCAACTCGATCGTTACGCAGTGACTCATTTCTAGCTGGCATGCGACGACGCCGTGGAGTTCCACGATTCTTGCGACCACGCGAGCTGTATAATCTTTTTGTCTCTAAAAAATAAAACGCGGATTTTTTAAAACGAAAATCAAATTACATGAATTCCCAGTATAAGAATATTTATTTAATGAGTAATAAAATATTTGAAAATTTGAAGAAAATGAGACAAACCTTCAGACACAACGTAAAAATCATCAACACCCATTCTTTCTTTTCCATATGCAATAAATACATCGTCTTCAAGAAAGAAATCAGCAAGGCAGGTAACCTGATTTTGAATGAATCAAATCGTTGTAAACCAAAAAAAAAAAATGAAAATGATTTTGCATGAAAATATGAAAAAAATACAAAAAAATTTTTATTTTATAAAAACAGTATCAAAAATTAATTCAAATTACTTCTTTGCCACTGATTGCAAAAATTTTGCGAATAGCTCCGCTATCCAATTTTACAATAATTGTTAAATCTTGTATCACCTGCAATTGCATTTTTAAAGAAGAAAGATAAATAAATAAGATAAATCATACTCAAATATTACCTAATTATAGACAATATATGTTGCTAAACTACTGAACAAAAAATGATATGAAAAATACTGCAAACTTGCAAATATGATCGCGCAGTGCGTTTATTCAACAAATGACGGACGATACGACGCGGTTTAACTCCATTTCGAATTATTGTTATAATCCTGGGATATACGAAATCGTTTGGCTCCTTAAACGAAAGGAAAATATAACTATTATCGATAAAATTACAAATTTAATATCTAATTTATAAGTGAAAGCATAAATTAATATATGAAATAAAACAGATTCAACCAAAAGACACCAAAAAATTTACTGGTTCTATATCTATTTATAATATGAATTAACAACAATATTTACTTGTTTTATAGGAGAATCAAAAAAAAGAGGAACAGCTGAAGCCGAGCCGTTCAAAGAATTACACCAAGTAGGTTCACGCGCATTTTCGTAATCCACTCGTTTGTATATCTCTGAACTATATATCAAAGCTAACAAGAACCAAAATCTCTTATATCAATAGTTTCTTATATTAATAGTCATATTAATAGTTATTAATAGTTATTTGTGTTAATAATGCAATAATATAATCGCATACATAATAGTAGATATTCTATTCTGATGAAAAAATTAAAGGATTACCTAGAACAAACATAGCCTTCGCCATCAGTAAATTCTTCTAGATCATTTATTTTTTGGGAGCCATCCATAGAAAATATGTGACGAACGCCATGAGGCAAATTAACTGCATCAGTCATTGCCCTAGTTAAATCACCCAAAAGTGCTTGAAATGAACGTACTCGCTCTGCTGAGATCGCATACCATATACCCTGCAGTTTATAGACTGAAAACCTTAAAATAACTAAAATAAAATAACTAAAGCCGTTTATATTATTATATTTCATTTATAGCAACAATAAAATTTTAAAAAACCTGATGCAAAATTTAAGAAATTAATTAAAATTTAACAAAAAACTTCTTTATTACTTTAATTTAATTTCTTTTTGTAAAAAAAAAATCGATGGCAAATATTTCAAACAAGAGATGAATGAAAGTCGCCATTCCACAAGGAAAAAACAAGAAAATATACCTTAAAATACTGGTCCCCGTTCCGGAAAAACCTAACTCGTTTCGCCTTATTCGTTGGGAAACATCGAAATGGCACTGGTGCTGATGGAGTTTGTGCGTTTGATGTTGCAGCCTGTGTCGAAGTTGATGCAACCATTGCAGAATCTAAGGAACAAATCAAATAATCAAATATTTTGTTAAATAATAATAATCAAATATTCTTTTTTAGTTCATTTAAATTTCATTTAGTTCATTTAAATTAAATCTCCATTTTTAACGAAAAAAAAGCTTATATGAAATTCGCATTTCATTTTACAAAAAAATAATAGATTTACTTCAAAATCTCTGGAAATTTAAATTATGAAAACAATAAAGTTAATTTAGCAATAAAGTAAATTAAGCGAGCGATTTATCGATCTGGATTTAATTGGAGTCGTAGCATGCGATCTAATTTATCAGCTAATTTATTAAAATCTATATGCACAAACCTATAATTATAGGCGTAATACGATAAGTGAGCATCCTATAGAAAATTAAACCTTAGATAGAAAATTAATTAAAGTTAATTTTTCAAATACTTTTATTTTATTTTGTACAGATAACTCCACCTAAGCCCACTCTTCGGATAAAATTAAAAGGCAAGGATATAAAAGAAGAATCTGAAGGAAACTAAAGACTAAACAAAAGAAAGATTATCAACGATTTTTATGGATGAATAAGACTATTTTAAGCAGAAGCTAATTTCATTGTGAACCTATTTTTAAAATAATAAAATGCGATAAAATGATAGAATTATGTTAATGTTAGAGTAATCTTCGAATAAAGTTAAAATGGCCTTCAGAATAGCCTCAGAATTCTAAATTGCAGTTTACAGTTCTCATTGAAAGAATTCATAACGTTCCGGACACCACAAACATTACAGGGCATCATGAATAAAAGAAACATGGCCCATTTGTTCGCAAATGGTAGCAAAATATACGTTCAAAAATTGAAAAATTGATGCGAATTTTATTATAAGGACAATAAAATGAATTGCTTATGCAAAATTCTTCTTTGGACTGGACCTACCAATATACATACAACAATTAATCGTGACAATTTTGATTATCATTAAGCGGGAAGTAATACGATAAGTGACCAACTTACAGAAACTTAAACGCATCTGACTAGGTAATTTTCCTATAATTTTGTTTAGACTCCACAAAATATCAAGTAATAATAGGTCCTTCAAATAGCAAACAAAAGAATAATCAGGTTCAACTCCACAATGAAAAAGATATAGTTCGTTGATTTTTCCTATATGAACATTAAACGAAAGCATTGAAAGCTTATTTGAAAGAGCTAAAAAATTTAATAATAATAAACAAGAAATTGAAAAAAAAAGAGAACAAAATCTCCAATTATTCAAAAATCTGATGAAATTTTAATCGAATGGAAAACTTTCATAGTACATAGAACTTTTGCAACAAAAAAAAGAAAAATATAAGTAAAATACTTGAAAGAATAACATCGGTTATCGATGTTTCCATTGCAGTGCAAATCTTTTCATTTTTTTTTGGTGTTTCATTAGATAACGATTTCTTACTCACTGACTGGGAAGTATCAGTCGATGCTGTTGGTAAAGTGGAATTTTCATTACTACATGAAGCTGACCGCTCGATAATCTATAACCATTAAAATTAAACAATTAAAAATATGACAATTATAACAATTAAAATTATATAAAAAAAACATATATATAAATTTATATAAATTATATAAAGAAAAAAATAAATCTGAAAGATCTTCATGTTTACTGCACTCCAAAAAATCTAAGGAAAATGATTCATTCAAGATTTGAAAAAATTATTTTAATAGAGGAAATTATAGAATGAATAGTTATTACCATCCGAAAAAAGAATGCTTTTATAGTTGCAAAAATAATGACGAAAATCTCATAGCCAATTATAAATTGCTGGTAAGTGCACGAAAAACGTAATGATAGGTAAAAAAGGAATGCATTAAACAGACAAACTATTGAAAATTATTATAGAAAGCACAGAAAGTGAAACTTAAATCTTAAAACTTAGGCCTCCTTAGATATAAGCCTATTCTACCATTACTATGTAGAAACGCCCCTGCAAGCAGCGTTAAAACCATTAACATACTCGACTTAGCTAATAACAATTTCCAACAGTGATGAAGAAAAAACTAAAATTCTAATTCTAATTACTAAGATTCGATGAAATTTCATAAAATGAGATTTGACGGAGTGTTAAAGTACTATGAAGGTATTCAAAAGGATGTTAACAGAAATAGCGAAGGATCTCAAGCTTACACCATTTGGAATGAAGATTAATTAAACAAATAAGAATAAAAATTAAGTTACCTTTCTATTAATCGCTCGACCTGGAATAATGGAACTATTCTGATTCGTAACAGATGACGATGAAGGCGAATCGTTTGAAAATTGGTGACGCCGAACTGTCGAAGTGCGAGTATGGGTATTGAATATAGAACTATGAATCCCATCCAGCGAATTCGGCATAGTTTTGCCTTTGCCCAAAAATTTTCAACCTTACAAACTCCATAAAACAATTCGTACTCCAGCACCACTTTCTCTTTCACTCGCCCCTACTATAAAAAACCTAAAACAAATCTGATTAGGTATTATAGTATCGAATACCAGCATTTATCATGCGATCTAGCATAATCAAATAGGTAAAGCAATGAAAAATCCTAAACAAAAACAAGTTAGATATTAGCCGCAGATATTACGAGCTTTATATGCGACACTACTAAATTAGCAATTAATTAATTAAGGTGTCAACAAAAGAAGGTGTCAAGCAGATTAAACGAAAAAAGCCTTCATAGCTTTCCAGCATGATACCAAGATCCGGAAACAAGCCCCTATCAGTTCCGCACCACCTAGTCGTAAAAGTGGTTTTTTTCTCATAAATAAACATATATATGTCAAATTAAAACAAAAAAAAATTAAAAAGACCATGAATACGACCATATACTCCAATCATCTTGCGCAAGATTTTAATTGAAACCGGTTATCCGTTTAGTTAAACAAAAGCAAAATAAGAAGTAACTGGAAACCTACTGATAAAAGATAAATTGGTGATAAGGAGGTCAATTAAATTATACGTTAAATCACTACTGAAAAAAAAAATAATAAAACCTATTTTAAATTATGACGAGCGAAAACACGCGAGCTTTCACGTACAACACGTTTATTTGCTGAAATTTTTTAAAAAAAAAGAAAAGATCGAAGAGTTATTAGCGAATAAATTTTTTGCCTCAAAATAAATTGCAATCCACAAAAAACCATGTTTGGTTAACTTTTGCATAATCATTTATCAATTATTATCATCAGTTTCAAGTGTAAAATTGATAAGAGAAATAAGAAAAGCATAGCTGAGCCGATCAAAAACCTCAATCCACAACCCACAATCGCAAACAACCCAATAAATAAATTTAAAATCAATAAAAATTATTCCGCTACTATTATCCATATTGAATAAATGATTACAGCGCAATATTTTCTAATCCCATGATTTATTGGATCAAATCCATCCATTCCTTATTTCTTACAATGGTTCATTCCTTTCCTTATCCATTCCTTAGTCCATTTCTTATCTCTTAACGAATTAATCAATCATTTCATCAGTTTTTGATGTATCAACATCGAATATTCTTCGTATGTCATTTGCGCACTTCCACCATACAATCTTCACTCCAAATATTTCTAATAAACAAGAATAAGCGATCGGCATCCAACATTTATCACAATTATTTGTTATCATAAGAGATAAGAGAGTTCCACTAGGAGCCAGGTGGAGGCAAAAAAATGGACAAGCGCAGAGATAAATTTTAATGATAAATTTATCGCTGCCGATTTATGTGGTCGAACCACTAAGCCACAAGGCTATTAAACGATTTAAAAAAATCTGATTTTATACATTATATATATTTAAATAAATAATCCTATGAGCTACGAATTTCATTGGCCAATTTTCGCGGAATTTAGAGAATTTGGCCAGAACACTATTGGCTTACGTGGACCACGTGGAATTAATCGGAGCCAAAAAAATTTTAAATCGCTTTTCCCAAAGTCATCAAATGAATTTATTTATATGCGAAGAAGAATAAGTGAAAATAAAGTGAAGAAGCGAAGCTACGCGAGGATGACGCAACGCTCGAGGCATATGGCGCAAAAAAACAAACGCAAACATTAAAGAACCCTTAAAGCGTCTCTCCTCTCCCCCTCCCCTTCTTCCTTCTCCCTCAACCCCCTCCCCCCCAAAAAAAAAATCCTCAGTTGACCTTCATTATCCAATGCAATTGAGTACCTTCCCCTAAATATCTTTTCCTTTCTTGCTGCATTTCTTGAGTCGAGATGAATAGCGCTATGTTCAGCCTTGCCCGTCTCGGCTGTGACCTCTTTTATCGCCATTCAGCAATATCCGTCCTAAGGACTTGTTTGATTAGTTCATTAAAGAATAAGCGCATTGGGAGTAAGGAAGTGGTCAGCGCTTATTATTTCTAATTAGGCTTAAGGCTAGCTCCGAATAGCTGTTGGTGGTTTCTGCGACAGAGCTAAAGATTAGGGTCACCATGTGGATTTTTTAATGGTAGATTACGGGACCGAACCCGTGGTCCTCAACATGATAATCTAAGTTAGTTATTAATTATTAAACATTCGACGATCTGGCTGTTACTATCTTGTTAACATTCGACTAATTTTAAGTGGGAGATTTCTGCTTCGCACCATTCACCATTCACCGGTCACCATTCACCATTCACCACTCACCAACGTACTTAGCCACTTTTATGCCATAATTTTTCTATTTTAGCAATTTTCTAAATATGTTCAAAATTCAAAAAATAAAACAATAAAAAAAATAAGCGAAATTAAAAAATTCGGATGGAAAAAAATAAATTGACTTGATGAACGTCGATAAATAAAAGAATAATAATAAAAGAATCGATTTGCTTATCGCATAGTTAATTTCTTTGTAACGGCGATCACCCCTTATTGGTGTTATTGGCTATTATGATGAGATTCCCTTGTTGGGAAGTTCCACAAGGATAGAAGTATTCGCAGACCACCGTGACCGCCCGCCTGGATTTCGCGGATTCTGGATTCTCACTGGAGATTCCATTTTTTAAGTTTAAAATTTTTAGTTTAGCTTGTTGACAACCTGAGACAATAAAAATTATCGTCGCTGCGTGTTTAACATTCCGTTAGTCAGTTTTTCATAACTAATGAAGAAAGTGTTCCAAGATATTCTCTCAGCTGCTCATCTTTAGGTGCCCTCTTGCTGATATATTTCTGATTGCTTCTCTCGACAGCTCATCTTTAGGTGCCCCTCTTGCTGATGTATTTCTGAATGCTTCTCTCAGCAGTTCATCTTTACGTGCCCTCTTGCTGATATATTTCTGAATGCTTCTCTCGACAGCTCATCTTTAGGTGCCCCTCTTGCTGATGTATTTCTGAATGCTTCTCTCAGCAGTTCATCTTTACGTGCCCTCTTGCTGATATATTTCTCAATGCTTCTCTCGACAGCTCATCTTTAAGTGCCCTCTTTGCTGATATATTTCTGAATGCATCGTGTTTCGTATTTTAATTACACCAATAATAATCGCTCTTGTCTCGTAGTTCCAAGCGATTTTTAATGTTTCTGTCATTTTCCATATTAATTTTATATAAAATTACATATTTATAAGATAATTTGAATTTTCAGAGGTTTTTCTAACGTAAATAATTGCGAAAAATCGCTATTAAAAAAGAATTCTTAAAATGCATAATTCTTCGATGCATAAAAATGAATAATTTTTTATTCTTTATGATTTTAATTTTCTTGAAATTGTATTCCTCGAAATTTCTCGTTAAATATTCGCGAATAATGGGATTATTAGTAACGAATTATGTCAAAAGAATTTAGCGCAATTTGACGGAGTATTACAGGAAATTGGCGCATTGTTAATGGCCTTAAACTGGGTAGGTTTTCGATAAGAGATGGCAAATTTTGAGGTAATTTTGGCAAATTGCATACCTCATCGAAATTGCATAATTTGAAGCTGCGATTGATTTTCAAATCCTAGCATTGTCTTCTTTTGCGATGAAAATTCATTAAATTTCTTCTAATACCAATAAAAAATAATGTAAAATACTGTTGCACTGGGAATTATCAAAATTTAGCATTAAAAAATCAATGAGTCTTATCAATAAATTCATCACTTTTGATAAAGAAATATCAAAAAACAAGCAGCAAAAGTGAAAAATATGTGGAATTTCCGTACTTAACATTTACTGAGTATTTAGAAGAAAGCTAAATAAATTGCAAAAAAATAAAAAGCGATGTGATATGCAATGATTTATCTGCAAGATACTATATCAATAACCATTAATATTTAGAGAACAACTGGTTTAGCAAATTTTTATTTCAGGCGACTGAGAGTTGGAATAACCACAGGGAAAATTTCGATCAAGAATTCATAGCTGATTGCCTTCTCAAGATTAACTTTGCCCCACATCAAAAATTACTGACACGAATTTCTTAAATTAAAAACAGATCTCGTTTTTTATACCTTTTCCGCTTACTTTGCAACCGTAGTCGCCGTTCGTTACACTCAGCATTCTCTTTTATCTCCTTCATTCCAAAATCTCTTGATGAATTCCATGAATTGTGGTATGAGTGGGAAAATAGGAAATACGCTCGTTATTGCTGGTTAAATTCAATCTGCTAATTGTTAATGCAATTAGAGAACCCGTCAGGGAATCGCAACAGAAGTACAGGTGCATCACTAGTACCAACTAGAATTACTTACTTCTTTACTAAACATTAAATTCCAAATTGAATAGTGTACTAAATTTATTCAATCACTTAAAATCATTTTGAAGAAAACAGTAAAAGAAAATGAAAAAATTTCACGAATCAAGAAAAAAAATTTTCAAATTTCATATATCAACTATTTCATTTTTATAACCCTCCTAGTTCTTTTTTTAAAATAATTCATTCTGATTCGAAAAAATTTCCATAACTTCTGCAAACAATCGTAAAATAATAAATAATATAAAAAATGCAAGCATTTGAAAAGAATTTTGTCGATAAAAACAAAAAAATATTTGCACTTATATAATTTATATACTAAATTACGTATTTAAATAGATACAATTTGAATAGATATAAATAAGATAAAATTGAAATGAACGAATTATGGAAGCATATCATCACTCATTTCATGCATAGATGTATGGACTGGTGATTCTTGTTCTTCCACGTTGTCAACACAACTATGCCAAAAAGAATGACAACCGGTGAATTCGATCAACTTGTCAAAGCGATAGGGCCGGAAAGTTCCACTTCCTTCATTCAACTGCAGCCGATCTTCCGCTGCATCATTTAATAATCGCAACCTTGAATCCTCGTGACCTCCCAGTGTAATCCACAAATCCAAATAGAAAAATCGAAGGTGAGCATCCTAAATAAACTATTTAATTCTCTTTTGGTATTTTCGCGCTTTCGTTAAGAGGATAACCTAAACTGAACAAAAATTCTAATTTATCCTTAAGGATATACTGGTCTCATTGCTATAGAAAAAATTTTATAAAATATTTTTTATGCCGAATTACACTGAGAAAAAAAATTTCTTCAGCATATATACACTAGCATCATCTGTGTTTTGATTTCCAAAAAGAAAAAAAAAATAAACCGTTTTTTTATTGACAATAATTGACCAAATTTTTGAGTGCAAATTTGAAATATGCTTAGCGATTGCAGAATTCAGTTCAAAACTAAAAAAAATGAATGGCAATTAACTGACTTGTGAGGTAATAATAACACAAAAATTCACAACCTAATTTTGGTGAGAAAAATGACCAACCCGGATAAACCCACTAAAGGATGTCGACAACAAAACTGGGCAGCAATATGGTATCGAACTGCTGGATCCGGATCATTAATACTCATATCGATCAATTTATCAAGCATTTCGAAAACAAAGGTAGCCTTAGATCGATGCACCATATCCACCAAAATCGTTAGCGCAACGCGACGCATCTTCAGTTATTCAAATATTAAGTTTCATCAAGTTTTTAGCTTCATTTACAAAGTACAAACAATATCGATAAGAAACAGTGTAATTCATTAAAAAACAGACAAAAAAAAGAAACCGGGGAATAAATTCCGAACCGTGCGAAGAGCCAAAAGACTTGTGGATCCAAGGGTATTTGTGACAAGATTTGCATCTGCAAAAATTTGAAATTGCAAAAAAAGAAAACTATATAGTATAAATCAAAAATAACATCATTCACTTAAAATGACATACAGAAATGAATCACAATTATATCTAAACCACAAAAAATTGTAATTATCATTGTTTTTAATTATCATTTTAACTTTTAACTTTCAATATTTTAAATACTAGGAAAAAATTATAATTCATCACTAATCTTGCATAATCTACCGACCTTTGAACCATTCGTTCGTCTCATTCGAATTAACTTTATAGTTTCGAATTAGAATGTTCCCAATAAGTTTATTTAATACCACCGAAAAACCAGCGTACAATAAAAAAGCCTTTTGATAAAGCCTTACCTTATAAATTGCTTGCAAAGCACTAATGCCAACAATTCTACCAAAAGTTGGTTTTAAAGTATCCATATTTAAAGCATGGGTGAATTCTGAAAGAACATCTCTCATCTCAGAACATAAAGAATCAGGTGTAAGATTTCCATCCAAACGGTCATTTTGAATAATTGTTCCAGAAAGTGCACAGATCAGCGACGCACGATAATAGTCATCAGAATATCTATAACTACGTTAAGTAAGAAAAGTTACAGAATTATATTATATAGTGTATTAGTAATTTAATCAAATATTTTACCTATTTATCGAATTGTCATTGTATTTTATTAATCCAAGAATGAATTGCAATATTTCAGCGATCGGAGTATTGGAAGCAGATCGCACTCGAGCCAATGCCTGTGGAATCGCCTGAATAAAAAGATGGATTAGATGATAAATAGGCTTAAGCTTTAGAAGTTAAAATTGAAAGAATATGGATAATACTGCAAAAACTTATGGAAAAACAAAAAAATTTACTGTTTAAAAACTAATAAATTAAAGAAATATACGAAAAAAAAATCGCACATGTAAAATTTCAATTTAAGCATTTCTTTAACTAGTTTTTATTAAGCTAGAACTAAAAAATTATTCCAATTTTTCGTAATTTAATATTTAGATATTATAAATGGGTATAGAAAAAGTAATTACCTGCATTAAAAAATAAGATTGAAGATTAGAGGATGTTACAACAAAATTATTTGGCTTCGGAATATTCGGAGCTGATTTGCAACAAAAAAACTTCTTATGCAATGTTAGCAAAACAGGTGATCCTAACCACGTCTCAGGTAATTTACTTACAACTTCGGACAGGCAGAATGCAGCTCGACATCGAACTCTACAATGCTTATCTCCCAATAAAATAATTCCACAACATCTCCATTTCCGTATCAATTATTTCAAAGAAAATTTTTAAAAAATTTTTTGAATTTTTTCAAGCAGATATTATTGAAGAAAAATACCTATAGTAGAAAAGTTCACATTCAATTGCTTCAAGTAATATCGTCCTCACATGTGGGCTAGGAAAACGTCGTAAAGCATTTAGAGCTTGAAATTGCGCCAAGACATCACGTTCATACTTGAGCATATACTCCCATTGATATACTGGTTGCCGAATTTTTACTCTTCTAACTAATAACAAATTAGGATCAACTCTGAAATAAAGCAATTCAACATGATAAATCATACAATATACACATTATCATAATCCAGTTAGAAATATCTATCACTGAATAGGAAATTATACCTTATCCACAGTACCGGAGAATCTGGATCAGTATTAACCAAATCAATTTCCAATTCTTCATTGTTAGACAACGGAATTTTTTTCTTTTTTTGCCTTCGACCCTTAAAATTCTCGTTTTAAATATATATAAAATAAGTTTTTTATAAAACTATAAATATAAATAATTAATAATTATGTATAAATAATTAAATAAACAATTCATAACAATCTATTAAGCAGCTCAAATTATTGATACCTTTGAATGGCACTGCAGATCGTGTTTGGAATGATCGGTATCGATTTGTAGAGTATGTGTAAAATACCCATCAAGCTCTTGCACAATCAATGTAACAGGTCCAACATAACTAAAACTTCAAAAACAGTTAGGTATAAAACTAAACAATTTTGAAAAGTTTGAAAATCTAACCTCTGGCGACCAATTTTTGCCTCAGCATCTTGAACCACTTCCAATTCGATCATATTACGTTTACGATTGAATGCATATTGAATCTGAAAAGAACTTTTCTAATCAATTTAAAATGGACTTGAAATGGAAAATCATGAAAAAGCTGCTTAAAATCATATTTAATTGCAAATTTAAGTTAGTTCAAATTTAATTAAAAATTGAGATAAATTAATAGAAAGTTTAAACCCACATTCAAATTAGCATGACCACCACCATATATCCATTGTTCCAAAAATGTGGGAAGTTCAAAACCTGTGACATTGGAAACAGTGCGAAAGAATGATTCTGTTGATATAGCCATACAGTGCCAATTCAGAGGTTCTTGTTGTTGCTTACTAAATTGTATGGCAACACCAAGTATTTTATGGACGACCTGAAATGGAGAAAAAATAAAATATCGGCCTATAAATCTGTTTTTATTAACCTTTAGGACTTCATAGAACTAATTGAGCCGTTATTCTTCGTCATCACTCATTATCTCACACTATTAATTGGGCTGTTTTGACTATAATGATAAGGCTTCACCAAATCACCTAATTTGATATCACGCGATCTAAAAAAAACCAATCCTTTTCCACCGTCTACATATAAATATCGATAATGCATTCAAAATTCATTCTTATTATATTAGTTCCAGGTTTTGACTGGTGTTCTTCGTTTTTGAAGCCATTCATCATAGGACTTAGCAAGTAACGAGAGAGAGATCAATTTTCTTGCGATAAGAGGTGTATATAGCCTAACGTAGCTCTGTGGCAATATTGATATATCAACACTGGTATTCATCGCATAAGATCATTTTTCAAAAAGCAAAAAAATAACCTGAAAAAACGGTTCATTCCCGAGCCTTTTGTTTAACATACGAAGAACGAAATGACCTTTCTTATATAGAATTTCAGCATAGACTGGTGAACATGATAATAAATTCTGCTCAAAGACATTGCTCTGAAAAAAAAGTAGAAAAGAAAAAATAAAGGTTGGTTTACAAAAATAGCTGATGTGAAATGAAGCACTTTTGTAATTCTGTTTTGATCACTAGGCTCAGCTTCTGCTGATGCTTTTGAATCATTCTGCTGCTTCTTCCTTAGATATATTTTTCCCCATTGATTTTCATAATCACAAATACTGTTTAGAATTTTTTGCATCTATAACAAAAATAAAATAGAAAAAAAATAGAATAGAAAATACAACAAATTTTTTTAAAGAAATGACAAAATGACGCTTTTGACAAAATTTCAAAGAAAAGAAATCCAAGTATTCTATTTAAAACACATATAACAAGCGAATTTCTAAAAATCTTTAAACATAATAACCAAAAAATATTCGCTTACTAAATATAAATATTCGCATGTCCCAAAATATCTTTCAATATATAACCCAGCGATAAACCTGGAAATTCACTTTATAGCAATCATTGCTTTTAGGATATAATATATTTCCTATTATTCTATTTCTATTATATTTCTAAATATAATTCCATAGATATATTCATAAAAATAAACCTCGAAAGAGACTTCACAATCCAAAGATCAAGCCAGTCTGTAACAGTTACAAAACATCCAAAAAATTGTTGCGCCAGGGCACCTGCCAGTAATATCCTAGTTTCCTAAACCTTTAATTTAGCGCATGAATAATATTTCAGAACAATTTCTAACAATTTCTAATTAATACTGCAAAAAGCATATTAATATGCTTCCTCTTCCACAACACAATAAGAACAATAAGAACACAAATATTTGTTAAAACTCCTTTATCAAAATGAATTATTGAAAACTTTATGCATAATGATGATACATATGCAGCAGTGATTTTTATTTTGAATGAAACGAATACCTGAACCATGTCAAGAATTTTTTTATGATACAAAATATTAACTGAAGCAATAGTCAAACTCGTATATGAGATTATTTGTTCAGCAGCCTAAAACTTTTAACCACTTTTAACTTTTCATGAATTTGACTGCTTCAATGCTTCAAAGAATTTGACTAAAAATTTCGCCAAAATTAAATGATATATAAATAAAAAGTTAAATCAAGAAATAATGCAGTAAAAGTATACGGAAATCGTGAAAGAATAAATACAAACAAATTAACCACCTGATCAACAAAAACCTGTTTATAAGATGAATAAGGAAATCTGCATGATAAAAGTTCCTCAAAAAATTCGAAAGCCCGATCCACCGGCGCAACAGTATGTTTTACAAGAGGCAATAAAGAAGGCAAAGCAAAACTTGCTACCTAAAAGTTTTTGTATAATTTCAGATGAAATAATTATATGCGAAAGTTGACTTGATTTTTAAAAAGGGGATTTTTAAAAAAAATTGATTTTGATTTTAAAAAAAGTGAAAAGTAAAAGTGAATAAACGATAACTTCAGCTAGATCAGGTTGCACGTATGGCGTGAAATGCCCAACGGCAAATCCAATATTCATCGCTGATGTTGGAATTAAAAGCTGATGACAAAAGATTGTCTGCAGCTTATCCGGAGTATAAACTTTATCCTGCAAATTCAAAAAATTCAACAGTATTTAACAAAACTTTCACAATAAGATCTGATATTTACAGAATCTAACTATTAATTCTCCGCTTGCTATTGCCATAAAAACATTATCAACAACTATTTCGATTCGCCACAAACATAACTGAAACGGCGCATCGAGACATGGCAGCCACTCATGAGTGCTTGACAAAACATCTGACCTTAAATACTGCATAACATTGAAAAAGAAATTTTTTAGTTTTAATAAAACAACAATAAAGAAAAGAAAATACCGATAAGTGTATAAATGAGCACCCTTTTCTAATATTTCATCACTGTTAAAAAATCCGATAAACTGAATACCCTGAAATTAATATAAATATTATATAAACATTGAAGATAATAAAGAATACTTTAAAGATACCTTAAACATATAATTTGACTAAAAAAACTGCCTATAAAATTAAAATTTGCAATTTTTCCCGAATTTTTTGTGTTGTGTTTTATTGCGAAAAGTAAAAAAACAATAAACGATGAAAAATACCTTTTTTGCTTTAACCACTTTCACAGCTATTCCAACTTTAATTACCATTGCTTCATCTAAACTTTGGAAACAAGATTCAGGAACATCAATAACCAACTCTTGTTTTAAATTACAACGAACTGCACTAATGAGATTTAAACCATTGAATGATTCTCTTTCATAAGCTTGAGGCAAAGTCTGAAAAAATGCACTATGGGCGATCAGCAACTTTTAGCAGCAAAAATAGTAAAAATCACAGATCATTTAAAAATTACTTTAAATGAAACATTAAATGGCTCAAAACCTTGAAAATGTCACGTCTAGTATAATTACTTTCTACACCATCGACAGTTATTCGCCTTTCTATGTTGTCCACATACATTGGGCACGAAGACAATTCGCTGGGTAAGACCATATCTGCAAATGCAAAAATATAGATATTATGAAGTTTTCAGCCAGTTTCTTAACCTTAGAAGAAAAACATTTCGTGCTTAATTTAAAATCTCTCTTCCAAAAATCCAGGTCGAGCCGAAAAAAGAATTAAGTGCGGGACGAAAAAATTTTGCTAGAGGGAGAGACAAACTGATCCTCAGATCATTCTAATTTTTCAGTGTCAATCTGTTGCATTAGAGGATGACCAATAAGCGACAATCACATCATTCCACTTTTGCTTCTTCTAAGAGTGCTCATAATTGCCTCTCGTTAGACTCGCTCCGCTGGTTTGCTCGACCAGACAAATTTTACCGGAAGATCGCCTGGGAATTTTTGAATAATTGCTGCATTGCTATCTCAAAATAAAACCAATATTCCACCTATCGCGAAAAATCAAAATTCAAAAATCAAAATGTCAACAAACCTGTCCCAATATCGACGACAATTTGTCGTAAATATCGTTTCATTGGAACCAATGAAAGTTCGGTGAAAACATCGAAAGACTGATTACGAAAGTCGATGTTTTTTATGAGAACTTTCTGTGAAAGAACACGAAAATTACAATCGATGCTATGCTTCTCCTTCTGTTCCAAACCATTCACAGCTAACGAACCGCTATTATTATTATTATTGTTAGTCGTTGGCTCGGAATTCGCTGAGATCGATGCGCCGCCATCCGATGTGCTCATTTCTCTAATAATTAGTTAATTAAAAAGTGTTTCGTGGGGAGGAAAAAGAAACCAACGAATCGAATCAATAGAATATGAAATAAAAAAATGAAGAATCTCACCAAATAATTTTTAATCGAATTCCATTTTCCATTAAGCGATGCAATGAATAAATCCACGTCCAAAGGAAAACAGTAAAACGCCCTGGAAAATTATAAATCAACAAGTAAACCAAAGGATCCATTAAAATTTTCAGTAAACCGTAAAATCTTCGATGATAGAAACTCAATTCATTTCAACGAACTTCACCAAAATTCAAAAAATTAGCGGACCAAATTTCTGCAGCCCACTAGAGTTCAATTCCATTTTACGGTCCGCGATGTGTGGTGAATGTTCATTTATGGTGATATGGTGAAAATGGCCATTACCATAATATCGTAAGGGTTTTCTTATGGTCGGCCTCCATATTTATAATATTCTCTAAATCATCTTTAACGCCCCGTTAGGTCTCAATGGAAAAAATTTCTACTTCTCTTTTCCTAAAATCCTACATTTCTTTAAACTTCCTTATATTTTCTCAGCTCCATTAGAACGTACTATGGTCCGCTGGATCTTTCGTTATCCTTCTCGACTCATTAATCCTTCCTCGAAATCTATCATACTGCTTGCGAAACGCTTGTGGCTCGTCTCCTCAAACTCTGTTTTACCACCTTCAGTATACATTTTTCTAAGAGCACTTCCGGCTTTAGCTAATAAATAGTGATTGCGAGTATCGAGGAAGTATACCAGAAATTGGCAGATGAGCCAGCCTTGTTGGGATCTGAATGGTTCTAAAACAGTGCAGCAAGGCTGGAAGAGCTATTAAGGAACCATAACGAGAGCGTTGAGTGTTCACGTGTCCAGGAATGTCCAGATTTGAAGGGAACTATAGGGAACCTGCAGTGCCGATGTTTTTTTCTATAAAATAAACCACGAATGCGGAAGAATAATTAAATGTTAAAAATCAAGTTAAACCTAGCGGGAACAACAATCAACTGAGTGGTTCCACAACACTTTCTGCTGTTTACTCTGCTTTGTAGAATTTTACCTCCCATTCACCAACAATAATTTAACGGTCTTTTCCAGGCCGATTATGAGCGATTATTGACGTTTCATTTCGTTTAAGTTGGGTGTGTATGTATTTTAATTTGGTTGTCTTAGTTAATAAAGATTGCCTTTCCAAAGTATCCATCAGTGCCCATTCGAAGTTCCAAATTGCCTAACGCGAGCTATTTGCCCGTTACAGTCGGCTGCGCAAGGTCCATCTGACTGTTTGCACTTTTTCATATTAAAATCACCACTTCTAAATTTCATAAGCCAGTTTTAGGCTTTTTAAATAAACCATCACCTTTAAACGATTCAACACGTTGTCTAAAAAATCTCAACCATTCACCTCCACGATAATCCAAAAAGTCACCGAAAATAAAACAATCCTTTAATTCCTTTTACGCCTCTACGAATATCGATATGATTTCCCGCTCGGACATTTTTTCTTTTACCTCTCCAGTGGAATTTCGAAGGTCCACAATATTGTTTTCAACGACTAGCAGAATTTTTCCGTTAAAATACTTATTCTTTTAATTCAAATAGGGTTTTACGACCGTTAAGAATTGGTTAACGAGCGTGCAACGTCTCAACCTTCCAAGTTTCATGGGTTTCACATCTCAGAACGAAATTAAAGTGTATTAAACTGGAATGTTTAATTCGAGTTTAATTTGCAAACAACTAAAGTGGAACCACGCCATAATTAGCAATTTTAACTGAAAGCCGAAAAGACAACTGTGCTAATTATTCAAACCACATTATGCAGCACCAACAATCTGTCGCCACCTATGTTTTATTCTTATGATGTAGAGAACTGATCATTACAGTAAATATGCAACAAAATATATGAACAAATAAAAAATGTCGACAATTTCAATGGAAATAAAAATCTGGCATTTCCTTCCTGCATTTTCCAAATTTTTATTGATGAATACGATTTTACACACTGTTGTCACAAGCGACGCCTTTGCAGTGAATTCACATCGCCGACGATCCTATGGATTGAGAATAAAAATAAGTTTATTCTCACCAAATTAAACGAATATTGTTATCTAGTTAAAATATCTGCCCTGCGGTTTCTTTTGCATCATCGTATTAGCCAAAAAGATTCAAATGGTAATTTCACTTCCTTAAACTCCTATTCTTACATTTTTCTCATAACTTTCTTCCATTCTGGTAAAAAAACTTAATACTGTTGTTATTTCATTTAATTTTCAATTCATTTAATTTTTGGAATCCAAAAGACAAATATGCAATATAGTATTTATCGTAACAATTAAAGCAAAAACAAAGAATGAATCATGATAATAAATCTATTCCTTATTTTCCCTCAAACGACGGATAGTGCTTCTAACTGTCGCCGCAGCAGTAGTTCCATAAACATAAGCACCACCTGCAACGACTTTGCCACATTTCTCACATGTCCAAATACCTACAGCAGTCCTTTTCATGGATTCCTGAAACATTATTCCGCTATTATTTTGTATTATTTATTATTGAATTATTTACAAATTATCACTAATAGCAGTATTATCGCTTGATTAAGAGAAGAAATTTAGCACGATTAATTCGATACATGTTTTTCACATATTAAAAAAGGATAAGAACTGTTCGAGATTAAATCAAAACAGTTTAGGCGTCATGGCCACATGCGTTTTTCAAAATAAATCTCGTTTATTATTGCTCATTTGTGGCGCTTATTGAAGTATAAACATAATAATAAGCATGGCAGAATGAGCTTTCTCTTTTTCAAAAGATAATTCAATGCTTCAATGCAAAAGTGAAGTTTTAATTGTATCCAAAGAAAAAAAAAATTAGATCAAATCATTCACTGCAGTTGCATCTAAACACTCTAAGCAGTAATAAAAACAATACCTTCCCACAGAACGCACAAGTATACTTGGAATGCTGAGTGACTTCCATTTTCTTCACAGTTTTCCTCAATGATGCACCATAACGAGTACCATATTTACCGACAATGCCAACCTTCTTCGTACGTTTAGCCTGAAAACAAATCAGAGGAGAGAAAAACAGAATAAATATGAAGAAATTAAAATTCTATGTTTCTGTAAAATTAAATAAATTAAATTCTATGTTTTTGTAAAATTAAATAAATTAAATTCTATGTTTTTGTAAAATTAAATAAGTATGGGAAAAAACAAAAACGATTGCATTAGAGGAAAATTCCATTTGACCCCAGTGACCTCCAAGTTTTTTAAAAAATACCCCACACAAATAATTTCAAAAAACGCCTAAAATTGAAAAAACACCCCCACAAACAATTTCAAAAAACACCTTACCATCGCTCAAGGCCAACGAAGTTCGATCCCAAAAATTTGCAGGCAAGTGAAAAATCTACACAAAACTTTGAAGAGATTTGGAATCGTTTCATGACTTAGTTCAAATTTAGCAGCTCAATATTTATTTAAAATTGAATTTTTAATTTAAATGTGGTATTCCTCGATATTCATTGGATTTGCGAAATACAAATGGATGTTTCAAGCATAAGCATAACATAATTTTTAGATTTGTGTGGCTTGGTTCGGTCAATTGCGATTTATAATGGTTGATTTAGTTGTGAAAATATCCGCGCGCAAAAGTCATACGAATTAATATCACATTCGAATTTTTCAGATTTTTGCAGAATAACTTTTCGGTTTCATTGATAAAAATAATAGAAATGAAATAGGATATCTATAAATCCGCAAAATAATCCATTTTTATCTTCGAGAAAGGCCATTTCTCCAAATAAACAAATCTTTTGAAAATCACTAAAAGCCACAACCTAAATTTTTCCGACAATTCTTCCTTAAAAAATTTGTCAGCCATTTGATGTATTTTTATAATAAATTTAGTTTAAAAAGACAAAGAAATACGAATAAGTCACACAAATTTGCCAACACTTTTTTTTTTTTTTTTAAATACTATAAAAAGCATTTTTAAAAAAATTTTTTTTTTTAATAAAATTTTGCTCATTAAAATTAAATTTAAAAATAAATTTTATTAATTTCAAATTTAAATAAATTAGCTCAATCAAAATTAAAAAATTAAATTTGTAAAAAATTTATATAATTGAGCGGTTAGTTTTTTCAAAAAAAATAATTTTTTATATTTTCAAAATTATTTTCTTATTATTATTAAAATTATTTGTAAAAAACTTTCATTAATTATAATTATTAATTTTTGTTAAAAATTAATTTTTAACAATTTTAATTAAAAATTATTTTAAAAAATTTTTGCGAACAATGCTCCTTTTTTCTTGAATTTCGTAAATCTCATTATCATTTAAATTTAAAATTACAAAAAATAAATAAAATTACAAAAAATAAATAAAAATAGTTCTCATTCTGGCTTGGCTTGCTTTGCCGGCTATTAATACGATTGGAAATTTTTCCCAGGAAATGATCTGCAATTGGGCTTTGCACTATCACACTGGTTTTCTAATGACGGATTTACCCGTCACGAGTGGTAATATTTGTTATAATATGGACTGCTTTGCCAGTCTTCCTAAGAATCTTCTCACATCGTTTTTAGATGCACGAAATATGATGTTTAGGATTGAAATGAGGGGGGGACATGACTACCTACGATTTCTACTGTGGCGTGCATTACTGCATTACTTCGCTACTTAAATTAGTAGCCTATCGTCTTAGATCCAAAGTACCAATTAGAACTCAGTGAAGAGAGCAGTAAAAAGGGGTTCAGGAGTTCCTTTTCATCGGAATTTCCTATACCCTAGACCAAAGCCTCTGGCTGGGCCAAAATAATTTAAAATAATGAACAAGGAATCACTTGAAGCACTGCAAGACTTGCCAGCGCAAAATCTTCAATGCTACATAGGTTTAATCAACTTATCAACTCACAAAAATCGAATTCCATTCCTCGCTACTGCATCGTATCAACAATGTCGGACTGGACACTACTTATTGTCAACGTCGCTTCAACATTAACAATTATTTTGACTTCCATAGTCGTTCTTGTAAATTGTGCAGGAAATGAAGAACAATCGAGAAGAAGTTCGGGAAGTTAGTTCGTTCTATCGTTTATCATTTATCGTTCTATATTGCGACAAATTTTATTCGCTGAATTTGAGCTGAATTTAGCGAATTCATTAAAAATTTCCTTAATCCATGTCATATTTGAGAGATTATTGTCCATTGCTATGAATGATTGGAAGAAGAAAAATTCAATTTTTGGGAAATATTTAGCCTTCTTTATTACTTCGATGATTATTCAAAGCGATATTATTATTATTCTAGGAATTCTATTGTTATATTTTGCTGAATATTTGAATATTTCTTCAGAAGCGAAAAACGGGTCTATTAACGGTACGCGAATTCCGCTGAGCAGAAACATAGTTGGGAATAATTTAAACGGTCACACTGAATTGCTATCCGCTCAGCACGAGAACACGCAACCTTTCAGAGTATGATCGAATAGTTGAAACTAGAATGAATTTCCATTTTTTCGCTTCTTTATTCATCCACGCAATATTTTAAAAAAGCCTGAAACGTATAAAATAGAGTGCAGCTAATACAAACTGTATTTTTATGTAAGCGTAACACGTGAATTTGCAGGTTGAACTGATAGAAACACGAAGAATTGGAACCGAATGCAGAGATAAAGCATTGCTTGCAATGGACAAGCATACGACAAGGATACCAATTGCTAAAAGTAGGTTGAGGATTTTGAAAGACTGAAAGAAGAGATTTGGCGGAATGGAGAAGAAAATCGAAAAGATGAACGAAAAGAAGATTTTGCAGTTTTAGATGTCGAGCAAACAAAAGGACCGAGCAAAATCGGACCATGTAAGGAATGCAACAAATTTGCCGTATCAAATGTAAACGAGACAAAAATGCAAGTTGCAGAGAATGAGAAAGCCATTAAAACAAAGAAACCACCGAGGTAATTTTACGGCTAAAATATTCATCTGGCAAGAAAATTAGATCATTAAAGTTGTTCGATTCCATTCGCCATTAGTTGACTTTTATGAAGTTAGCGATTTGTTTGTATTCGAAAATTTGTGAATTAATAATATTTTAGACAATTTTTCTACCAGAAAACTGTCATAGTTCCTCGGGAAGGCATTGAATTGCATCAAAGAATATCGCCAGGTTAGTAAAGTGGAAGTGAAATTTTTCTGAAATACTAAATCTAATTCATAATTCATAAGCAAGAAAAGAAATGATAAATGAATGACCAATATTTTATTTCAGTGAATATAAATACTTCCCAAATTCAGTCGAATGGAAGTCCGAACGATGAATCGCATGTCGCAATTTCGTCAAATCACATGCAGGAACATGCAACTCCTGCCAAAAATCCTTTTAAAGCTGATCTGGAAGTATTTTATAGAGCTAATGCACCACAAACTTTCAATCTTTCTATGAACACTGATTTTAGCGAGAAAATATTACCTTACAACCATCCAACGAGAACTTCACTGGCCCAATCGTTCAATGGTAATCGTAACTATGAAAATGATCAAACATTTCGACCGATCCTGCATAGCTCCAATCGAATTCGATACAAACTTAAAGAACCTGTTTCTTTAATGGTGTACAAGTATGAAAGCCTAATAGCTCAAATCCGCAGCGAAAAGTAATTGCAATTTATTCGGATTCGGAAATTTCAATGTGATTTTTCTCTAGCAAATTCTAATTTCTTTTCCTGCAAATTTATGAGCATCGCAATGGAATAAAATTGACTTTTTGAATTTTTGCATATTTCATTATATTTAAAAAAAAAAACAATTTGATTTCTATAGGCTTAAAAACTATCCTTGAAAAAGATGCATATTTAAAGAACTTTTCAAAATTCTTAAAATTTAAAATTTTTAAAAAATATATTAAATGGGAATGGGAATAGGAAAATACCAAAAGGAGCTCTTAAAGAAATCACTAATGAATTTCGTCAATTTTCAGTTTTTACGAAAATCTTTCAAAATAATTTAATTTAATTCAAAATTAAAGATTTTCATTCAACAAGAAGCAACAATTCCTCTTCAATAATTTTGCATATTACATTACAAAAAAAATTCACTTTTTTAAAAAATCTTTTATTATTAAATATTAAAAAATAATCGAGAGAGATGATTTTTCATGCTTTTCATTTTTCACTTCTATTTTATTGTGGATCGCAATAAAACTGAAATGGAATCGACTAAGAATTCGCAGACTATTTTATTAAATTATTCATTAATGGAGATAATTTATGCTAGCAATAATCTTACTATTTATTATTATTTTTATGCTTTATAGAACGACTCATCGAGGATTATAGATCGCCATAAATTTGCAATAATCTTATACGACGCTGAGATTCCTATCATTTAATAGTTTTTTTCAAGAGCGCCAAAGTTTCTTAAAAAATTTACGAAAAAAAATTGAAAGCACTCCTTGAAATTTGAAATGCTTTTCACAGTTTTGTTTCTAAATTGTTAAAATACAAAGAACAAAAATTGTTAAAATTGTCAAAAATTGTTAAAAAATTGAGTATTTATAAAATATATTTTAGATAATTGTAAAATATATTTTAGATAATTTGAAAATATTTTTGATTTGAATGTTCCTAAAAATTAATTTGTCTAATTCGATCTTTTAATTTTTTAAATTTAATTTTAAAAAAATTAAAGTTAACAACAAATTAAAATAAAGTTAACAAAATTAACAAATTTTGGTAAATCTACAATTGTTTTACAAGCCTATATTTTAAACTTTGGCGAATTCATATCGAAAACAATTAAAAGATTTGCTTGTAATTCATTCATGCGCAAATCTGATACCTATAAGGCTGAATTGTTGAAACATGAAGTATCAATGACCTTAATGAGCCATACAATTGCTATATTTCCTAGGGTGTAATTTGCCAAAATATTACTTTTACATGTCCGGTTCACATTTTTTACTCGAATATTCTGATTATTTCATAGCCTTTAATGGATCATATATTATCGAAATATGGTTGCATGGTTGTTGGCGATTTTATTTTTTACGCCATTTTCGATTTTTATTTCGATTTTTTTTCAAATAGCAAATACAATTCGAAGAAAGGAAAAAAAATTCGACTCAAAATTCTGAAATAATACAAAACGACTCATTGTGTTTGAACTTAAACTAGTTTACGTAAAGTAAAAAACACCTCAATTCATCCTTATGAATCTTATTTCCTTTATTCATCGATAAAATCCTTTTTTTCCTTGATGAAAGCAAAGATAGTTGGGATGGTCGAGTTGTTTTCGACTATCAAAAGTTTAATTCCTGTCTCTGGCATGGAATACCGTTAAAAAATCCATGTGATGCTAGCGGCTCGTCTCTACTTGTGTCGGCCAAACTTTCCAACAGCATAGCCCATAGAGCGAAGGAATTATTCAAGAAAATTTCATGCTTAAGAAAAATCAATTGTAGCCAGCAGGCTGTTGATAATTCGCGTAATACAGCCAGATTTAAAGGCTAATGAATAATTATTTCAGTTCAATAAGCCGAACTTAATTCAATTTTTTCTTAATTTTCTTACGAAAAAAGCATATAAAACCGGGATGACTAACCAAATTAAAATAATTGGCAAAATAATTACAACAACCAATTTGCGAATAATTATTGCCTGCTGCGGAATTATCATTTGCCGTATTCCTCTGGCAACGAAGCATTCGCCGAGATCGCAGTTCATCGAGGTAGTGCGGAGGCATTTTTTGACCGGCGGTGTCGTATTTCATCGATGCATTTCCTCAGCTTAAGCTACTTTTAAAAATCATTCGTTTCATATTGTTTAAATTATCGCATTTTCCACTTAATTTCCGACTTATTAGAATTGTTTGTTTTCAATAAATACATTAAAAATCTGTCGGAAATTCGATAAAAATTCCTCGAATACAGACGGCGATTTATTTCTATAATTACGAATAATTAATGCAAAGATTCGACACTGAGATAAATTCCGAAAATTGTCATATTTCTGGTATTTATTAGATGAGCGAATTTCTAAAATTCCATGCGCATCTCGGCTTCTGATCAGAATTATTGCTGAATTGCGTCTTTAGCCATTTCGTGGATGCAAGAATTGATGCAAATCGCTGTAGTATTAGCCAAATTTTATTCGATTTCGATTCATATCTGCGATAAATCCTTATTACCGCTTATTCATATCTACTGAATCGTAAATCATTTGTGCAGCTGGATATTTCGAAGATTACTTTGCATTTAATCTGAAAATATGTTTTTGTCCTTGAGCCGACGAGTGATTCAAATTTTAAGGTCGTCCATTAAAAGTAACCTGTTTGTTAAAAACATTTGGTTCCACTCGGTCACTTCGAATTTTCGATAAATTTTATTGCCTTTATTGTATTTCTATAAGAGACCATATAAAGTGAGACTACCTAAACGAATTTATGTCGATTTATGCCGTATTTCCACTCAATTTGAAAGTTGGAATATTCCACGTGAAACGAACGAATTATCCTAATTTTTCTGCAAATTTTTCATTCTTTACAATTTCTGAACGAAATCCTTCTTAAATTTTTTCTCAGCGAACAATAATTTTTCATCAGATTTTTTTCCAAGAGCGCTATTCCTGCTTAAAATCGTTGCAAGCAAATTTTGCTAAAGAGCCACTTGGCATTAAAGTCTAAACCACCAGCATCATTCCAGCATCATTCGTCATTAAAAACCAACAATATATTAGTATCAAAAATTAGAAAAAAAGTTGCTAGCGCTTGTGTTTCCTGATTAAGCTAGAAGTTTTAGAAATTTTTGTCAAGAAATTACTTGACGATGGAAATACAGGTAGGTCGTCAGCACTATTTAATACGGTGAAAGCTAGGCAGAGGGCCTTAAGGGCCTTGAGGGCCTTAGGATAAAACGATAATATTTTAGATACCCCTTCCTTTGAAAAAATATAGCTTTGTTCGAGACGAAAATCTTGGTGAATAAATTAAATTTACAATTATTGCGCAAATAAAAGTGATGAATATGATTAGCTTTGCCACTTTTGTGAATCAATGTTTGAATCAAATTATTTTCTTCATGATTTGTTTCTTGAAGCATATAATTCGATATTATAACGATGGTTCCAATTGATATAATCACTACACTAGTTTTTGATTAAATTACCATTCCTGGTAACTGGTACAATGTTTTTGCTGAAATATTTTAATTTTCGACGATATTTATTCATATCTAAATCCAGAAATTACAATTTCTTGTAATCAGCAAAAATTAATCTTCTTTTTCTGCTAACAGCTTGCAGCATCATCGGTTTGACTGGATTCACTGACTATAAAGACGTGGCGTTGCTCTTAATTCACTTATATTTACCAGTTATTTTTAGGATTCGAAACATAGTCACTATTTTTATAATGTTAAACGGATAAACATTTCATATTTATTTTTATTATTAAAAACTGCAATTGCTTTTGGTTATTCGTCCCTCATTACTATTCTTTTTCTAATAGTGAGCACCACATTTGGCTGGTTCCAGAAACCGTCGCACCACAGAATCATTGTACTATTAGGAGATAGAAATGCCTCTCCAACACCATCCTCAATTTACTGAAGATTTATTTTTAGAAGGGGAGAAGGGGAGATTTCTTTTGTATGGACCGCAAACATCAATTGATACAAATGGGCTCAGCTTGCCGTTTAGGTTTTCCAATATATCCATCAAAATGAATCATATCAAATGTTTGATCAAAAGAAATCACAATGAAACTTGGCTGGTACAATATTTAACAAAACCGAAATGAACAGTTCGTACGAGCAAAATAAGTCCTCGTAGCTGATTATGGTGATCTTGAAATCGATGCTTTATTTTGCTGAGCTAATTGGCCATTTTAGGCCATTTCGAAATTCATTGGAGTATCATTGATTCAACAGATTCGATTAAAATATATATTATTACTTGGTTCTAAAGATAGATTGCCAATTATCATAACTGGACGCAAATAATTATCTGATTGACTTGTTAATTATGGATGTTTACCAAATTTCTTATTTGGAAAGTCATTGCGAATTATCGTTTTTCGTGAATCGCAGATGAAGGATTTTAAGAGAAATTTCAATTGAAACGAATCGTAGTGATAAAAATAAATTTTCTGATAAATTATGTTAAAAGCACCAAATTAAAATTTAATCATGCATAATATACTGATAAAAGAGGAATTTTCCGATTAAATTTTGTATTTCTTCATTTGTATTTTTGTATTTCTAAAAATTTTCGAATAAATACATCGTTTAATCGAAAAAATCTTGCATAATATAACGCTAATATTATTATTCTGCATGGTTATTGACTTGGCTCACGAATAAGGCGAAGCGTTTTCGAGCCTCCTAATTGCACAAAAGTACCACTATCACTACTTTGATTTACGTTTATTTCAAGAGAATCTACTAATATATTAATTTTTATTCATTATTTAGCGTTTGCTAAAATGGAGCCGATCATAGCGAAAGGAATAGAAAAGTTTTTGTCATTCGCTTCCCACTTCTGTTTGCTTCTCAAAAGTCACGCAATATACGCAGAACCCATAATTATGAATATTAAATTTTTCTCTATTCATTTCCTCATCGTAACTTATCCGAGAAAAATGGAGAAAAAATTCAGTTAGTTCAA